TTCCCCCTTCCCCCTTCCCCCTTTAACCAAGTGAGTATTAGTGTGGAAGAACCTGCAAATCGAGATTTAACAATGACATTTTGGTGTAATGTCTGCTTGTCCATATCTTTTCAGAAATGTTGAAAATGCTAAAGCCGACTGATGGTTCTCTGGGTTTTAAGAGGAACGCGCACACTTTAAAATCAATACTTGTTATTAGCAGGCTAAGTCAGGACATGTCTGTTTGTTTGTTTTACCTTATTTGTCGGTCTGCGGTCTCCACACAGACGTGCTGACTGGGAACGTGCGTCCATCGCTCCGCCTCCATCACCATCGCCTCAGCGTCCATCAGACCGAAGCCGTACAGGTGGCTTACTGTGGGAAACAAAGAGAAGTCACAGCTGAACAGACTGCCAACTCTACAGTCACTCATTAAAATGATGGTTTATCAAAAAGAGATTGTTTACACTACAAACTCCTTAAGGAATATTCCTCGTAAAGACTTTTATCTCTTGGTTATTACATTAAAATGTGCAGAGCATAAATTGTTTTAATATTCTAAACAGGCGGATGAAAATACTGAGGACATTTAGGCATTACTCAAAACATTGTAAACAAAGATCGAACATCAGCAAAGTAATGAAGAAAACATGCATTCCTCCGATACTTCTCCCTCCTGTTCCTCTTTAACAAAAAAAATCTGAAAATCTCCAGGAACACTGGGCCTGCAGCCCGGCTGACCTCAAGGACACACACACACACACACGCACGCACGCACGCACGCACTTAAAGTTACAAACAGCAAACACAACAAGCACTCTGACAGATGGCGGCTAGTGATGAGCTCATGAGGACTGTGAAGGTAGAACAATAATAGGAAACTGCTCATCATCATCACTGGAAAAAACTTCAGGAGTAAAAAATACTGCATCTAGAGTTCTCTTTAACTGTTTTGTGTCTTTCAAACACACTACACCCCACCATGAATCTTAATGCAACCATTGCATTTAATCTATATAAATCTAAAGATAAACTGATAGAATGAAGTTGCAAAAAACTTTTGAGTATTTTAAAGATAGTTTTGTGTGGAATTGCTATTAAGATATTGAGATTCTTGGTTGAGAAAAGTGTAGTTTAGGTGTATGTGTGTGTATAGGTGTGAGTGAGTGAGTGAGTGAGTGAGTGAGTGAGTGAGTGAGTGAGTGAGTGAGTGAGTGAGTGAGTGAGTGAGTGAGTGTGTGTGTGAGTGAGTGTGTGTGTGAGTGAGTACCATTATAACCAGCAGCATTTGTCTTCCAGTCGGGGGCGCTTAGATGTCCAGCTCTAGAGGTCTTTACAATGATGTGCTGAACATCTCTCCATGAGAGACGGGCACTATAGTGGAAAAGAACACACAATTACATTAGGAAGACATAAGTAAGCAAGAACAAAGTCACATTAAGTAATGCTTTTTCTGCGCGTTTACTTAAGCACACATACATTTATACATAAATCACATTTAAAGCAAGACTGAGGATTTAAATGCAGATATTATGAAAAAAATGTTTTGAATAAGGCACAAAATCTTCCTTATGATGTACATTCAGACATGAGCAAGAAGGAGGATAGATAGATGAAGGAGGAACATTAAAAGTGTAGGATAAAAGGTGGAAGAGGTTAAAAATGCAGCGCATGGAGGGGGAAAACAGCTTAAATGTATAACAAGGTAAATAAAACATAGTAATAAACAGTAGGTGGAAGATTACTGAGAGAGAAAATTACAGAGAGGCATAGATGGAGCGCATAGATGCCCATTCATCCGTCACTAGTCTCTCAGATCTCACGTGAGATCCATTACGAGATGGCAGCCATGTGCCTCGACTGCTTTGATGTCCAAATGCTACATTAAAAAGGAAAAACCAGTAAGAAGTGGGTCACCAAGTCTCATGGGATTCCCTTCCATCTCATATGCCGACCAGATGCTCTTTTCCCTCCCATCAGGTCACTCCCTCCCATCCCAGACCTCCACAATCTGCACTACATAAAACTAGTTTTCAAAGTTTAAACACTGCGATTTTAGAAAATGCACACTAGAGTCAATGGGTGCAAGGTTGGTTTTTTTACACATTAGCTCTCAAATCATTCTTGGATTTTAATTCAACTAATCAAATTAAGTTTTGGAGTTATCCAAGTTATATTTAAGACAAACTGCTTTCTGATGTCAACAGTAATTAAGGCATAACAAAGTCTGTAACAAGTTCAAGATTAACTCATGGCCTGAATTCATAATCAAATCCAACTGAATACATAGATTGAATTGATGCAAAAAATATCAAGTGAACTTAATAAAAGGACAATAGCACAGTTACTCGTAGAAATTCAGCATAATTAATGTTCGGATCAATATTAATAGGCTTAGCTGCCACTGTGTGATTGAGGTTCCATCCATGTTTTATGGTCATTAATTAAAATTAACTTTGGCAACGTTATCTAGGCCACCACAGTCTCCCATAAACAAGCCAATGCTAATTAATGGAGTAGCATGCATACTGGGAGAAACCAGCAGCAGATCAGTGTGCCCAATATAGGTTACTCGGTGCTTCTTTTACGTGTAATTATGGAAAAACACACATGGGTAATTTGCACAGAAAAAGCTAAATGGGATGTATAAGAGAAAAATTAAGAAGCAAAATGACAATGGTCCATCTTTGTCTTAACTTGATCGGTCTGTAAGATTACCCGCTAAACTACCGTCTGCTTTTTTTAACACAAAAATCTGCCTCTCTAGATTAATATTTAAATTTGACAAATGTAGAGGAAATCAAATGTTCTTTTTAGCTGCGTTTATTGCTTAAAACCTCCCAGTAAATGAGATTATTATCTCTACTCGTCTATGTTTATCCCTCCTGATTTCCTCACTGAAGTCCCCCGCCTCCATTTTCACTTTTCCCATTTCTTCACTATGGACAAAAGGAAAGGGGAAAGAAAGGAACGTTTCTGAACCTTAAAAGCGTTGCCACTTGCCGTGCTAGACTGACGCTCATAAAGGGATACATCACGGGCTGACTTAAAACATATTAAACTTGGCAAAATAGCAGAGAACTGAGCATGGGACACTTTTTTAAGTAGGGAAGGGAAAAGACCTGGCAATATAAAGTTTAAAGAAGTCTAGCGTAATGGCGTCTCCACAAGTTTGTCAAAGAGTTTCCTCGCTTTCATTCACCAGATAAAAGCAGATACGATCGGTATCGCAAAGAGTTCGTCTAAACGCTTCCCTTTCATCCGCTTCGCCCACATGTGGATGCATGCAAGTTTATCTATGTTCGAAAGCCAATGAAAGGTTAGAAGGCAAGAAAAAATGTTCCCATTTAAAAAGAACTCATGATGGAGGTGGAGGCATCGCATGCATGACAGAGAAGACACGAGAGCTAGCAGATAAGAAGAAAGCAGACAGGCAAGAAGCACCGTGTGATAATCTTGTTGAGGAAACAGGCTTATGTTCACAGCACTGCCTGGAAACCGAGAATATTTTTAATTGGGGAGGATTTGGATTGGATCATCTGGGTTGAATGAATTGACCTCTTCTAACTGAGCCGCTCAACGTGTGATGATGAGGTAAATCCCAATTCAGAGTCTCTGCACCTGTACTGCACTCTTCTAATCAATTCATTGAACACAAATGAAGCACATCAACACGTTTTATAATGGGTGGGGAAGGGATCTCTGTTCTCTCACACTAAACATCAACCAAGGACAATCAAATAAATAGTTAATTGAAAATAAAATCTTGAAAATAAGTCTTACTTTTCAAATTTTCTTAACTTATATCACAGTACACACTTTGAAAGTTGGCACATTTGATGTTTACATTTGATGTTTATCATGTAAGCATTTTAGCCCCAATTGTCTATTGGTAGCACACAGCACGATCATGCTTTAAATGCATTAAATCAACAAGAAATGAGGAGAATTGGGTTTTAAATTATCATCACACCTTTTCTGCAATAATGATGACATCACTATCCAGGGGATTATGTTTTAAATAACAGAAATATCTTAAGACAGCCATTAATACATCTGTTGCCTTTACACTGAAACACTTGTTTAAGAACACGCACTAACCAGGAACATACAGTAGTCGATGCACGATCTCATGAATAGACTATTGTTTTATAGACATGGACTATTTTTATAGGTGTATAAACATGAGATAAAACACTGTGTGCCAGAGGGCCATCATTGGGACAACCATAAACTGATAGAAAGTAGATCAGCACAGAGTCCAAACACCCTGGTCTCTGAAGCTCAGGACCCTGTGACACCTTTTAACCAGAGAAGTTATCATGTTTTCAGCTTTGTCGCAGGGTTTTTGTGCTGCGTGAATGAAAAAAAATCTATTCCCAACCGGCAAAATCATCAGAAACAGCTATAAACGTTTTGTTTAAACACTAAAATAAATCATATCTTCTTTGCTCATTAACATATAGTCATGGAATGACTTTCCAGCTCTAGAAATGGGACCATTCAGACAGCATGTGGATGCACCATTAGCCTTAAAGGAGGTCAGTTCTCTTTGAAGGCCATGCTTTGCAATAAAAATTATAAAAACAAATGATATGTCCCAGCTTAGGTAAACAGGGGCAGGGATTCACCAACTAAAGTATAGTTTCCCATCACATCAACACACTGTCCCCATTGATGTTAGCCTTGAATCGAGAGTAATGGTTAACAATTAACAGCTGATGACCCTGGCTTTTCAATTTTACCATCTGCACAAACATTCAGCTAATAAAATGATATTTGTGATAATCTGCTTTGGACAAACCAGAAGGAGTCCTGTCTTTATACAGCCCTTTAAGATAAGGCATTACATGACATGTTATTTAGCAGAACCTTCTGAAGAAGAATCAGTAAATGTGAAAACATCCCTCCTCAGAGGCTGCTTAAGTGCTGAAACTCTAAACTAACCGGATGCCGGTTTCTAATGTAAGATACTAAGATAATATGCTCTAACATTTACATTCACAAGCCAATCCTACAGAAGTACAATTACTTATGTTGTACTGCTCAAACTAAAAGAAAGGAGCTGAGTGTCTATGAAGAGTCAATGTATAGTTTTGGTATTCCGCTGCAGAATTGTTGTTTGGGTTACTGACTTAAACAGAGTCGGCTTTTCAAAGTATTTAAATGCATCTCTGTGTGCTGACTTGACAATGGAGTATTTGTGAGAAAGTGCTTCCCCTTATAGATCAGTGAGGCCAGGGGACAAGAGGGCATTAGAAGGTAAGAAAGGGACACAGGGACAAAGGGATGAAGGGATGAAGGGATGAAGGGAAGGGATGAAGTTAAGTGGATCATACTTTGCCTCCAGGGCCAGAGCAATAATGGCAGCAGCCATGGGAGCTGAGGCCGATGTCCCTGTGTGACTGTCTGTACATCGATGCCTCAGGTCTGTTGTGATCTGAAGACAGAAGGAGAGGTAAGACAAAGTTAGACAGGGGAGGAAAGTGAGATGAAAACACATTACAGGTATTAAGAAGTAGAAAAATGGGGCAGGGAAGAGACCGCAGACGAGAAAAGAGTAAAAGTCAGAGACAGGACTCAAAAGGAAAAGTTTAAAGAAGAGGAAAAGAAGACTGTTACAATGGTGGCAGGAGGAGAATGATAAATAAACAGAGAGAGAAAGAGATAGAAGTCGTGAGGTTAAGGAGAATTTGGAAACTTCTGTAACACCAGAAACTCACATTCAAACTGTGAAACATAAATGACCAGTTTCCCCAAGAATTCAAGGAATCAATTAAATCCCTAATTTAGAGCTGTACTGAATCTTTGATTACAATTCTGTACATATTTTTAAACCAGATACTTCTACAAAGTTGCAGATAAAGATTAAACTACATTTATATTATTTGTATTGTACTATTTTAAGAGTTACATTCTAGTGGTGGCTGTGTAGAATTGTTTCACCCTTGTTTGATCCAAACATTTTCTAATAACCCCAAGTATTAAAGTAAAAAAAGAAGAATTTCTCAATCCTGTAAATCGCTTTATACAATTGAGGATTTGTTTTAAGATTCATTTTTGAATCATATCATGAAATGTCATTCAAAGCTTCAATGGAAAACTTAAATTTGAAGGAACTTTGAATGTAGAAAAATGCCATTCAGTACAGCTCCTCCCCGAGTACAAGTCAAGGACAAAGAGTACGAAAGAAGTAATAAAAAAAAATGTTGTTAAAGTGATGTATGTACGCTTTAATTGTATGGACTTTAGACAGCCAACTAGTCAAACAGCTTGGCAGTCAGTACGCCAAGAAAAGCTTGGTAAACTTCCAGTTTGAGCCCTCTTCAAAGGACCATTCCTTGAGTTTGAGGGATCGACTGAAGACACACACAAACAAAAAGTGAAACAGTAGAGTAAGACGTGAAATGGTCCAATAGCATTTAGTAGACAGGACATTGTGTGCTCAAGAACATTAGACTGACAATCAGATATATGGCGTTCTACTGTAAGTGTACAAAGCTGGAGTGTGTGTGTGTGTGTGTGTGTGTGTGTGTGTGTGTGTGTGTGTGTGTGTGTGTGTGTGTGTGTGTGTGTGTGTGTGTGTGTGTGTGTGTGTGTAGCATCAGTACAAGGAATGTAGCAAGACACTGCCAGAGCAGCTAGTTTACAGAGTACAACTGTCACTGTCCATCCCAGTGGATTATGGGAGTGGTTTTGTCAATTTGGGTGAAAAGAGGCCACACAACTCGACCGTCAAGTACTGACAAACCAGGCCAAGTTATTAATCTTGTACTTTTAACAGAAATGATATGGAAACAAAATGTAACTTCCCATTCCACATATGGGCAGTTTCAGATGTAAATCAATAGTTATCTAGGACAGCGAGGCATACCTCAAAGAGTCCTATATTTGAAGACAGGAAACATAAATCGTGTCTAAATTGGAAATTAGGGAAGAAGGAACAAGAACTCTCTACCAGCAGTACAATATGCCATGGATGCTAGTGCTTCTTTCAAGAACGTATGTTCAAATATACTACACAAACACAAACACTTCAGTCCTTACAATCTTTCGGTCGTAGTTCTCCCCGCTGCTGTAGGTGGTGGTCAGTGTGGACGAGCACTCCTCCAGGTACCAGGGTTTGCGTCCGCTCTCTGCTGTGCTGGAGATGGAGATGGTGTAGATGGAGTTGGTGTAGCCGTCGCAGGAGCAATGGTCTCTGCTGCGCCCGCCGTTGCCTGAAGCCCAGACGAAGATGGAGCCACGACCCTTCCTCCCCTGGAAGGAAAGAATGCAGAGAGAACACAGTCAGAGGCTGCAGATCTATCTCAGTATTTAGAGATGATTATTCCTCACCAGCCTTTGTTATAGGTTGGTTTTCACATGATCTTTAAATCAAGAGGCAGAGTATCAATTTATGTGTTTAATGTGCAGAAATCACTGTTTAAATAAATTGGGGATGACGGAAACAGTGGGGTTGAGCTGCGAACATCAGTTGGGATATAATGTTGGCACTCAGGATATTGTTAGTGTCTGGCAGCAGGTCTGACGTGTTTGGACACAAGTACATATTTTTGATTCAACTGGGCAAAAAGACATTGGTGGTTTTTCTCTCTTTTGAAAAGTTGACATTGGCGAGTGACTTAAATTGTTTGTTTTCCCCATCTCAGACTTTTCCATTTATTCTCACATAAGTAGCAGAAAAGACAAGTTAGGATATTTACTCGCTGACATCAGACTTTATTTACTACCAACATGGTCCTAGTAGCGCTATAAGTCAGGTAAAGGACATTATTTAAAAAGTGGTTTTTGGGGAAGTACATTTTTAGCATCAGGTCTTGTGCTTTAGTTTAGTTTTTTTGCCCTTGGTTTTTTAGAGGGAAGATTGTTCGCACATTGTATTAGAATAAAGGGTTGAAAATAATAAGTCAGTTCCATTCCCCTTTTTGTTCCTACTTACAAAAAAATAAGTTTTTTTTACATTTTTTTACATGCCTTGTAGCATTACGTTTTCAGCAAATAAGCCTAGAGTCTTTATACAATAATTGAACGTTCGTGATTTGGTTAAACCATGCGCAAATATTCACATTTGTTATACCTGAGGCCCAATACATGTGCAAACAGGCAGCTTTTTAATATTCAAATCTAGGTTTCCAGAAGTTGTTACAAAATATATTAAAACTCAACCCAGATGATTTCAAAGGATCTTGCTATTTTTCCGTTTTAATTGGAAACTTTTCACTGGAAGGCAAAATGAATTGTACCATTAGGTTAGACATTGTCAGTCCAAAGTTGTCAGAGTTGGAATTAATCTAAAGCCCGCCCTGGTGGAGCCACACTGAGCTGGTCACTGAGCTGGTGATGTTCAACTGAAGTGTGAAGGCAGGGTTCAGCAGGGAGTCAGCAAAAAAGACATGTGACAAAGTGAGTGACACTGAGATTCACCGGGTTTGCCAGGGCACACTCAAAGAACACTTGTGCACACACACACAAAAAAGATATAAAAGGTGGAATAAAGTTCTTCAAAAGGGGACTTCTGTCAGGCAGCGATAAGCAAGTGGAGCCCCTCTGAGTGAGAGGGGATCAGACAAGAGCAAACGCTGACAGATGAGAGCAATGGCGCTTTGAAAGGATAAAGAGGACAAAGACTGAGAGGGAACAGTGAGTAGAGAGGACGAGGGGGAGAGGAGGATGAAGGTCAAGAGGGGTAAATGTGAAACTCATAGAACAATCATAATGAAAAGAGAGCAATGATTACATCGTTATTGTAAATCAAATATCTCTGGGTTTTGAACTTATCAAAATTATTATTGTTATCTTGGGGTTGTGATGCTCGTTTTACATACAAATGTTTTAAAAAACAGTCAACCCGTGTGTCAGAAAATAGGGCCGATTAATAAACAATAAAGAGGATACTAAGTTTAAGTTTTTAAATGTCCTACTTTTGGTCACTGTTTGGATTAAAAGCTAAATACACAAAAACAGGTTTCGCCTTATTAGGGAAAGGAAAGACATTTTCTTACAGATTTCACACACAGAGTTACAGAAACCTGAGTACAACCCTCTCCACATCTGTCAGTGAAATCTAACACCTCAGCTCTCTGTGATAAACTGTCTCTTCAGAGTGTCACATAGATACCTGTAACACTCACAAGCATGTCATGTCCACTCAGCTTCACAAACACAAACACACAGTGTGAGGGCTGAAGACATATTCACACGCCCAACTCTTGGCAGTTGGACAGATGTCTCCCTCACCTCTGTCCTCTTTCAAGGCCAGCCTGTCAGGAGCCACGAATACTTTCTTTTACTCACACTCCCCACCTGTCCGTCCCTTTTTTGTAACATGCCACAGGCACTTAGCCTTCAAGCAACAGTTTCTGTCTCACCTCCTCGAAGGAGTACATCTGCATGAGGCTGTGGCTCAGTGGATAGTGTGCTGGACTTCTAATCAGGGGATAGCAAGTTCGAGTCCCACTGCAGTCAACATGTCGTTGTGTCCCTGGGCAAGACACTTCACCCCAAATTGCTTGTGTGGGAATTGTCCACACTGAATGTATGTAATTCGCTTTGGATAAAAGTGTCTAACAAATGACATGTAATAAAATAACAGAGAGGTGTGTGTGTGTGTGTGTGTGTGTGTGTGTGTGTGTGTGTGTGTGTGTGTGTGTGTGTGTGTGTGTGTGTGTGTGTGTGTGTGTGTGTGAAAGTGTGACCAGTAAAAGACATCGCCCCTCTTAACCTCTGTTATAGCTTTTCCACTCCACACAGCCACCAACACAGCGGCAGCTTGTCGTTATGCAAATGAAGCGATGAATATGTAAATGAATGTATGCTAATAGTAATGTCCGAAGCTTCACAGGTAGAGGTAGCCAGGGAGGACTTTGGGATACAAGTAAATGAGCGTGAAACACACATCTGTGCAGTGCAAACTTTTTTCTCAACAGATGGATACTAGAGTCTAAGTCTGAGCCACGCATAAAGCATATGTTCAATTATACGATTATGTTCTTGTAATTGTGTATGCATGTGTGCGTGCATGTGCCCACCATACGGATGCCGTTCTCAAAGGCCTGCCTGGCCAGAGATGCCGGTCCGTCCACGGTCTTTCCGTCATCATCAGGTCCCCAGCTGGCGCTGTAGATGTCGATGTGCTGCGGCTGGAGGCTCAGAGACTTGGCCTCCACCATATCTGTTACATCACCATCCAGCATTCGCACACCTGAAACACACACACACAAATGGATTGTATGGTTTTTCACTGAACTACCTGGTATGAAAAAATGTATAAAGCCAGTTAAGCTGCTATCATTATAATGATAACAAATTCAGGAAAAAGTGAGGAAAAAACATTCATTAATCAAATATACATTAGTGAGCAAGTTTTTCAGTATGCTTGTCCCACATAACCACTGAGGTGGATGTCTTCAGGACACACAGGTTGTCATCGTAGTGTGCGCAATTAAAATGAAGTGGGTAATCAGACTTGAAAAAAACCAAATGTGGTGTAATGAGTAAATTACTTCAGTTTTATCGCAAACGTGAAACTTAAAGTGTGTTTTGAGTGAGAGAGAGGGAAAGCAGGATGGATGGATTCAGAGCAGATCAGTTTGAGGCCAAAAGGAAATTAGCAGTAAAGTTGTCTCCGGTGTTTAATTGTAGAGTGACACACACACTGCTGAGCCTCTGGTTATCAGGGCAAGGTTTAAATGATTCCAGCTCCTATTACATATTCGTTTTTAGTTGGTGCCGTCACAAGAATGCGTGTGTGCAGAAGCAGTCTGATGTATTGATTAGAATTCAGATCAATCAGTTATAAAAAAGACAATCTAATTACACAGTTCATTTTAGTTAAACCAGAAAAAATATAACTCACCTCCTATTTTGGCATTGTAGGCAATTCCCACAATGCAGTGGGAGTTGTTTGCGGCTGCAGCAACTTCGCCCGCACACCGTGTCCCATGCCTTAGGAAAGCGGGATAAATGAACATCTTATTACACAAAGCTAAAATAAATGTTGTGCGTACACAGGAAAGAGAGCAAACACAAACTACCAGATAAACATGCAGCTTTTGAAGTGGAAAGCAAGGACACTTTCACATCAACACACAAATAGATGTGTACATTCCTGTAAATGCAATCCTAAACTAAATAGTTTTACAGTAATAAGTGTTACAAATGTAGCAACCACTGTAAATATTTCTACTAAACTTGTTTATTCCTCATCCCTATTTCCTCCTCACCTAACAGAACAGAAAAAGGTAACATGTTCCTTGATGCCAATGTTGTGTTTGTATTAGACACAGAAAAACAACAACATCTATAACAAGGCTAAACGAGATAGAAAACATGAATGTGTTTTTTGACTGATATTGCAGTCGAGACATGATTCATGATATTGGTGGGAATTTAAATTATTAATCTAATTTGCAGGAAATAAGATAGAAAATGATCATATAATTAATTATCTGTGAGGATCTCCGCCAAATTATGACTTCTTTAGTTCCCGGATTTGCAGGCCGTTGTAGGTAAGCTTTCTTAACTCAGAAATCAATTTTTAGTCCGGGATTTCTGCAACACCACAATGCTGAATTTCAGAATTAGGACAAATAGTTTGTCAAACATATTTCTCCTCCTGTGATTAGGATAGGGTTAGATACAAGTTACTAGAAGGGCTGCACGATGCGGGGAAAAAAACATTTAAAATAATCTTAAAAATTGCAAGATAATTATGGTGTTCTCTTTTAATCAGGATCTGTAACAAACACAAATGTTTTGCCAAGTCTGTAGAATCAGATCTGTAGGCTGGAATAACTCTGCAGCTCCACAATACTTCATTCAAAATGGTAATTTAACATTTAACACATATTTAGCCTCTAACAAATGTTGCGCTTCCTGAAATTTGAATATATTTTTGGGGAAATCGCAATATCGACTAGTGACTAAGATAAGTGGTAGTTGTTCAGCCGTAGCTGAAACAATATCCAACACATCCGTGATTAATCTCATACACAAACACACTCACACACACACACACACACACACACACACACACACACACACCAGGGTAACATTCCACCAGTAACTGCAGTGGTGACAATCGGCCCGGGTCAGCAACCAGCGTAAACAAACATCACTATGTTTGCGTCCGCCGCCTCCTCAAAAACACCACGCTCTGGATCGGCACACACGCACAGAGACACACACACCTCCTGCAGAGAACATCTGCAACACCACACCCCCCGGGAAAACTGCTGACCGCTGCCATGGAGACCGAGCACCTAGCTTTCCAAACCCCTGAGGAACACAGACTTTACTTTGCTTCCCTGGACCTTTAAACTTTTTACTAACTTAGTGATTTCAGGTCAACATTTATTTACCTTGATCAAATGTTTGAATATTGTTTTAATCATCACTGTCTGTCCTCACTTATCTAAGATGTATGCTGCACTATCCGTGTTTGGAACATTCTTAAACAATGGTCATTTCTTTCTACTACCATTCAATTAAATATTCTATAATGTATGAATGTTATATCTCACTCTTTACTTTTCTCCACCCACAATCTGCTCCAGCATTTAATAATCCCCTACACTCGTTCAATACAAAACAAAGGTGATTCAAAGGTTTTGAGAACTTTAATTTAACCTATCATGAAATTAGTGGATGTTGTTCAACCTTTTAGAATAGAAAAAGGGGGAAACTGTCAGTGTCCAAAAGGTAACAGCATCAGGCCAATCAAGTACAAGATAATTTGTCAATATGTGAATTCAAAAGATAGGAAGATTAACATTTGCCCGAGCCAGGCTAGCTGTTTCCCTTTGTGAATGCTAAGCTAAACAGCTGGTTGCATTTATTTCATTTTTAAGAGACAGACAGCCTATAAGGGTCATATCCATATTCTGATCTACTGCCGATTGGAAAGTGAACGTGTATTTTTCTAAAATTAACAATAATTCTGTCAACAACACCTTGACAACCTGTGTTCAAGTAATTCGACTTTAACGGGATTTTGGCATTCCTCATTGCACAGTATATCTCAGTACCCATTCTACGTGTTCAACTGAAACTACTCAACAATGAAATGCAGATGTAGTTTAAACTCATATCCAGAAAAGATATTAGATGTGTCAGCCTTTGTGTTTATGTGGAAACCTTATCATCTGTTGAGTATAAATTTAGAGAAAAGTGAACACAGATCAAACGGTGTGGGTTAAAGAAGGCTTTAATATATTAAACGGCTGCACATCCGTGATAGGCCCCTTTGTCACAGTTAATGAGCCAAACTGCTGGCTTCCTCTTTCAAAACGCTCCAGTAGTCTTTACTCACATCACTTCACTCCACTAATCCATAAAATTGTCTGTCTGGCTGCCTTTCCAGTCTTTGTGTTTGCCTGCATTTTCCATTTTATACACATCTGTGTCACTCAGGGAGCTCTCTCTTTTCAACCCGAGTCTTATAATGTTTGTGCAATCGATAAAAGTCAAGCGGAACAATACACAAGAGTAATTATTCAACTGAAACACATACTTTTTACCCTTTCTGAAGGTTTCAAAGGACACAGCCACTTAAAACTCACATTCAACTCTCTGTAGTACACACATTTATTGAGAAATGTGTGTTTTGCCTTTAACTTAAACTCTAGCAATTACAAATATCATATTTGTTGGTTGTTTGTGATTCAGGCTTTCAATCATTTCAAGTTTATTCCAATTCAGATATATTCTTTAGAGTTTTGCAGTGTGTGCCTGATGGTTTGTTTTATAGTTTTATTATCTATTTAGGGAGTAATATTTGCTTTGTGTTGTGTTTTATGAAAGTTAGCAGAAGGTCATAGTGAAATATCTACTTGCAGCTTTGTTCATTTGGACACACACGCACGCACACACACACACACACACAAAGTGATTAATGTGCAGCAGATCTGCGAGTTCAGAAAATGTTTAAAACTTTCAGGAAGCTAAGTGACGAACCATCTACTCAGACATAACAGGATTTTCCGCCAATTGTTTTGTCATACTATCCTTTTAAATCCGTGGTGGGCTGGATAGATTTTCTGTGGACAATATTTAAAAGTCAGTTTACGCAAAGGACTGGCTTAGCAATAGATGCTGGTGCATCCAAATGTATTACTTCTTAGTTGCTGCTCACATTTAAGGTCGACTGACATTATGATAAAGTCAGCATTGTATAATTTGTTTTGATAACCAAAACATAGTTAAAACTAGTTAACAAAGTTAGCGTTATTCCTCAAGAGTGTGTTATTTTAAGAGTGTGTTTCTTGCCTTTCCAGCATAATAACCACTTATAATTTGCCGACCTCAACACACCATTCTTTCAAATCTATTCCATCAGACTCTCTCAGTACTTTAATGCTATGACTAAACAACATTACTTCCAGCGTTTATATCCTACAAAACCCCTCGAAAAAGAATAGTAATACGACAAGATTTCTGTCCACACGTTTAACATAATAGTCCAGTATGAATTCAGCCTAAAAAAAGGAAACCAGATCATTAAGCTGCATCTGTAGGCCTCATGTCTCTTTAAGACAATGCATTACCAGCAGGGACTGAGCCGCTGCCAAGGCATTTGGGTTGCTGCAGCCAAGCGCATACACACGCTTGCACACACACAGACGCTCTCACACACACACACCAAAAATCACTCACTAAGCCAAAACTGGCACAAGACAAGTGCTTAGACAAGCGAGCCTCTCTGTTTCCCCTCTCTTCTCACACACACACACACACTCTTGCTTACACATATGCACAACAATTCTTCAAGAGAGAAAAACCACAACCCACCCACAATTGTCACAAATAAATTCTCTAATGTAACTCATTGCACCCACAACAAGGTCAGGCTCAGCAAACACAAACATATTGAGGCAAAGCAATTCTGGTAAAAATCAATAAGAAAAACACCAGACGGACATTTGGCTCAACGTAACCCCGCAACACTGACGCCACATCCTTATTTTCACCTGAATCATATTGTAAGAATTAGAATGAAATGTCTCCTTTTCAAACGATTTAATAAAGATTGTTATTCTTACTTGTTCTCATTGGTCGCGTCATATCGAGGCATGGGGTCCATATCGTTGCCGTTGACATCAAAGCTGGCTTGAGGGTCCTGGAGGAGACATGGAGGTCAGAGCAAGTAAATCAAACATAAAAATGACAGTTGCAATAATGAAAAGGGGAGAAAAAATATTCAATATAAATTCATTAGAAAGGTAGGTTCAACACTACCTGTGTGTGTGTGTGTGCGTGCGTGCGTGTGTGCGTGCGTGCGTGCGTGTGTTTAAGTAATAGATCATTAGAACACAAACAAGCTTCTCTAACCCAATCAAATAGTTCACTTTAGCATTACTCAACGGTTTTGTAAATCGAATGCAATCAGAGCAAACTCCATCTGCTGCTTCGCTCCCCCCTCGGCATAAACAAATCCAGGCATTAGGAGTAGCTAATAACAGCAGAGCAGGCGCTGTCACACAGGGGGTGAATCATTTTATCTGCACAGTGGATTGATGGCCTTACCTACCGCCACAGGCTAAAAAAGTTCCTCTAACTATCCAGCCTTGGCCTGACGTAGACATACCTCTGCATGCACATAAAAGTAAGGCAACCACAAACAAATAAACATGTCAGCATTCCTGAACACCCACAGGTTCCGGGAAGCCTTCCTTGGAAGGGTGATCCATGATGCATGATTATCTGATCCATAGTACAGTATCGAAATGTAGTTTACATTTTGAGACTTGGGTATCTTTTAACATTCCAAGGGGAATAACCAATTAATATGTATGAAATCAAATGAATGTGTTCAATTACTATAATAACAATAGTACTTTATTTTAAAAAGATAATCATTGTTGATATTATATTTATAATCAGACAACTGAAATGCTGTTACTGATGGGACGTTAATCCTCAATAAAGGCAAACTCGTAGCCAAAACACACAAATACAGATTACATATAGCCTACATTTGATAACTATAAACTTCACACCCAGACATATAGATGAAAAGGTTTTTGTTTTTTTTACATTTTCAGTGACCACTAAGGAATCAACATGTACACACATACACGCACATGCAATGCCGCCATACACGTGCATACATACACACTCACGTAGTTCTGAAAGAGGTCTGGGTGGTTCCTCTCGATGCCGTCATCCAGTATGGTCACCACCACGTTTTTACCCGTGTAGCCCCTCTTCCAAGCCCCCATGATGTTCATATCCGACTGACAGTTATGGACGTTGTCGTTACAGTGCTGCAGTGAGGGGGGCAGGAGGTGAAAAAAGAGAAGGTGACAAATAAGAGGAGTGGGAAAACCAAACAGATGCAGAGCCTTAAATATGAAAAGGCTCAAATAATGACATTTTCAACTTTACTTCAAAAATGGTATGTGAGCCATACCTTTTTTTACATAGAGGCACGGACACATATAAACCAGTCCAAACAAGTAAACTCTCAAAGTGTTTGAAAAAGTGAAATCTCAGACAACTTAGGAAAACAACTCTTACTCAGCTGTTTCAGTCACAACACTTTTTCTTGCCGTTATTGTGCAATTCAATATCCTCCACTTCACATTTGTTTTAAAAGCACTGCATGTGCTACCAGCTGTCGTTTGTTTACATGCCAAATAAACATTTAGATACCTTAAATACATTTTAAAGTATGTTAACTTAAGAATTAAACTTAAATTTGATTCGAAAGTCCAAGATATTTTTGCACATTTGTACGCAACTGGACTTTTTTTATATATAAATTGGATCAAAATCCCGGTTCAGAGAGTCTTTTCTACAACTAAAACATGTTTTAAACCTGGTCAAAGTATTAGCTGTTATCTTCACAAAGTTAACAATTGACAGAGCAGAGTGCACTCCACCACAAACACACAAATGTGTATCTTAAAGAGCAATGTTCTAATGGGTGTATGCAAACACTCGTGATAAGCAGGCCAATCTCTGCAATGAGAATCTGAATGTACTGTGTGAGTGTGTGTGCTTCTGTGTGTTCACGCTTGAACAGGAAATGATTTGAAAAAGCAGAACGCTGTGGACTGAATGTCTCACCCTGACCCTACATTTTCTGTTTTCAAATTAAGTCAAAAAATGTCATCACTATGGCTCTTCTAGCCTTTCATTCAGGGAAACAGACACGCAAATCCCTCAGCTTCACTGACCCTGCAGTAATCAGGATCATGCCATGACCTCGGCTGACCTTTGACCCACAAACCCGATAAATATGGGGAGCAGACAAAGACAGCATAAAGGACCCTAAATGATGTTGCGCAGCATTTGCCTCGGACTGCGATATGCGTGTTTTGGTGCTTCAAACATGCAAACTGCGTTAGGAGTATACAGCGTACTCACTATGTACCACATACTGCTCCACTTGGCGTCATTATAGAATATGTTGTTCTGGGCCGGGCTGCTGTGGGCGGGGCTTGTCAGGGAAAGGGGCGGGACGAGTTGGTAATCCCTCTTGATCCTCCTCTTCACCACCTGCTGCTGTATCCACTCCACCTGAAAACACACACAAACGGAGTAAGCATCGAGCAATACCACAAATACTGGATGACCAGTACAATCAGGCAACAGGTGGAATGTCATCAAAGTTCATTTGAAATGGTGTGTAAATGATTCAACATTTACACTCAGGAAAATACACAGTTGTGAAAAACCTGGGATCTTTTTAATGAATGAGTGCTGCGTCTCCCACAGCAAAGGGAACATCCTGGTTATTTTTGGCATATCTATATGGCGAATATACTGAGGCGCCTGACCAGCACAGGCAAAACATAAAAAAAGCAGCAGAGGAGAATTACATTCCTGCTATGGTTGAGCCATGAATCCAGATGAAATTTTACTTGCAGCAGCAAAAAAAGCGGAATAAAAAAAAGCAGTCTTTCACTTAAAGGTGAGGTGATTTTCATTTTTAAGAAACATTTTTTAAAAGTGTGACAATGCTCTGCTGTAAAGTGATTTCAGCCATATGACTCATTTTTGAATAACTTGCAACAAAGATGAGTAAATTATGACTTATCTGAGATAAACTATAGAACAAAAAGTAAACCGAAATCCTGCGTTCAAGAAGTATGACCTTTTATTCTCTCTAGTTTTAGCCTACAAGGGTGTTTTAGTGGACTCAATGTTTCCTCTCCATCAGTACTTTTCTTCCCATCTGCAAAATAGACAGACTAATACACACACATATGCACCAAAGACATAAATGTCTCTCAGGTAACATCAATCTCTCAAATGTTATGGGCTCGCTCCAAGGCACAAGGCATTCCTTGGCAGGAATCTCGTTTCACTTTCAGACGGAATTTTCCGATTTCAAAATCAGCATTATTGGATCTGAACAAGAGGACTGGTCACCTCTTTTTAAAACCTGACATCTTGTGTTTAGTCTACATTAAGTCCTGCAGACTTAACCTGTCTAAAGAGACACCATGAGAAGTGTTCCTGTAGCAGCAACAATGAAAACACACAACCTAAAATATCAGCAGGCATAAAACTGAGAGCTGTATGAAAGCATCTTGATATGTTAATGTAGATAAATAAATTATTTCTTAAAACAAAAACCTGGTTGAGTGACAGCTTACATAGACTTCAGTAGGATCCTTTCAACAGACTTCGGGAAAACAACTAGTTCAGACGGCTACTTTTTATTTATACGGTAAATAATGTGCACTCCTGCTGAAGCGATGAACATCTACTGACAAACACACTCTGCCTATAACAGATTAATCAATAGAGTACATTTCACACAGAAAAAGTGTTTTGATGCTCCGTTTGCTGGATCCAGGAGTCTGAGGCTTTGGTGAACAATGTCCCACTACAAAGAGAGAGCCTTTCTCCACATCAATACAACTCTAGCAGACAGTGAGGAGAGAAAAGCTGACATAATGACTGCAGAGTGATTATCTGCTCTCATGCACTGAAATAATCTGCCAGGCTCTCCGGAGACTTGGAGAGGAAGGCAACAAGACAAGATAAGACGAGAGACGTAGAGGTGATAAAGAGCTGAAGAGAACGAGACCCTGGAGAGTCAATAAAAAAAAAGACAGAGCCAGAGGAGGAGGAAGGAAGAGAAAACAAATAGCAAGTGAGACCGAAAGACAGCAAGTGGAGGGAGGATGATTGACTTTAGAAATTGATTTAATAACTCAAGTATATCGCTTTTTATAGATCGTAAAGGAGGGAGAACAGAAAATGAGTAGGTAAATGACACCCAAGAGTGGAGACCTTGCTTATACGAGGGCAAGATATGGGAGGAAAAGAAACGACAGACCAGGGAAGAGAATGAGTACAAAGCGCAGTGAGACGTTTTCTTTCAGCATTGTGCTCGTACGTCTGCTGAGGTCTCAGTTCATTTCGCGCCAAGTTCTGTCAGGAACATCAGCTTCAAAATGAGCGTTTACACACGCCATTAGCCCCAAAAACAACACTGTCATCAGGAAATGTGTATGTGTGGATCTGTGCTGAAGCTCTGGTGTATCGTTAACATTTGCATACATTAGCATCGCATCAACCTCAATCTTTGATCAGCACTGTAACTCTTAACTGCTCTCGTCTGTTCCTTGGTAATTCAATAAAAGGTCTGACAAATAATGCATCGCTGCCATCTGTGCTCTAAGCCATACATTATTTTGCAGACCGACCCTTAACATATGGCGGGGAAAAAATTAATTGCTAAAGTAAGGTCTCAATCGGTTTGTAGTTAACCTCAGATATGTCCGATTTGTGTTGAAGTTGCCTGATGAAAAAAGCAAAGCAAATTAACCTGAATGTTTCTTGTTGTACCGAGTTTCTATGTTTATGGTTTAATGCACTTATTGTGTGTCACTTTGGATAAAAGCGCCAGCTAAATTGAATGTGACAAGTTCCTGCATTTGGGTTCTGGAAAGTATCCACAAGTGTCCTTCAGCAAGACACTGAAACACTTAAACCTCTGTCAGGTGCTGCTCTGCAGAAAATAATGTATTTGATCCTCCCTGAAGAGGTGCTAAATAAAGCATTTAGGATCAGTGAAGTACCAGGCTTTATTTTTGCTATATACGGTACATTTACCTTGGTGCTACAAGACCTTCTAATGCGTTGTTTTAACAGCAGGAGCAGAAACACTCAAGTGTTCATCAACCTTGTGCTGTTTAGTCCAAATAATATTGGTTTGCTTTCCAAATCTTTTCGTGTTACTTTCTAATAAAAGGTTTACTACAAAATGTGTCTTTTCAGGTATTTCATGCGATTACTTTCAAAAGTTAAAAAAAGAGAACACATTTTTTTTAAACGAGCCCCTATCTTACTAGATACAAAACTGGGAACAAACATAGGTTGCTTTCTTCACATGAATATATTTAAAAAAACACACTCACATTCATCCTCTATTTGCAGGACGACCTGAGGTGAATAAATGGTATTCAACTGTAAAGCAATCAAGGGCTACTCTAAAGCAATCAAGGGCTATTCTAAAGCAATCAAGGGCTATGCCATTTTTTGTTTTCGCTGCAAGAACACCACTCAATGGTAACAGCCTGCGGTTATTGGCCTCAATTGTGTCACGTTTGCCAATCCCTATCCAAACAAAGACAATATTGCTCTCCATTATGCCTCTAAAACGTGCCCATGTATCACTGCCTTTGTTGGGAGGGAGGCGTGTGGCGCAGTGGACTAGTGCGTTGGTGTTCGGATCAAGGTTCAAAAAACCCTACTGCAGTCAGCATGTCGTTGTGTCCCTGGGCAAGACACTTCACCCCAAATTGGCCACAGTATTCAGTATGTAAGTCGCTTTGGATAAAAGTAACATGTAATGTAATGTTTCGTTGCCAATTTGCGGGTAGGCTTTGGGGCATGAAGATATGATCCACTCAATATTTGTAACTCCAGCTTGGTGGAGCAGATGAATGATGTGCGATCACCTGTACCGTCACCCTGCTTTTTTCATTCCTCCCTCTCCTATCTCACTCTTTACTTTTCTCATCTCATCTCGATCCCATCCTTTCCATCTCTTATTGGGGCATTTCAGGTCTTCTCCGCAGATGCCAATTTGTTCTCTTAGATTGCCTGTCCTTCTCTCTTTTTCCCATTCCAAACCCCTTCCTCCCTCCTCTCTCTCTCTCTCTCTCTCTCTCTCATTCCCTCTCTGTGTAAGAGTTAGCAGGTGGCTCTTGCTGGCTGGGTCAGTAACCAGGGGAAACTGGGGAAGAGTTCACTTCAAAAGAACAAATGGGAACAAATTGATCCACTTTCACTGCTGTTTTTGAGACGCTGTTTGAGTTGCAGGCAAATGAACAGAAATGTGGGAGTTTAAAAAGAGGTCAAAAGGCTTGTGTAGCAGAACACCCACAACAACCCTTGGACCGACATGAGAAGCCGGTCTTTCTGCTCTCTTAAGTGCAATTTAGGGCCTCAGCCCAACTTTTCACAGACGGATTGAGCCCTGTGGTGCTGTGCTGGCCAGCTGTAGGTGCTCCTCTCAGGGCATCCACTGCTTAATGGTTCATCTGGTAAACAAATTAAAGGCAAAAACTGTATTTGGCAGATTGTCCCAGAAGCATCCTGGTTTTATGGATGCATGTATCTGGGACTGTGTGGAGGCTCATGTTACCTAAGCATATGCAAGTGAAGTTACCGCCAAGGTACACACGCTCCACGATGCTGTGAGTCTTCCAAACATGATCATAAATATAAGAAAATATCTAAATGCCGTAATGGGTAACTATTGAGCAGACTTACAACTGTTCAATCAGTTGAGCTCATCCAAATGTAATAATATAGTTTTCTTTGTGGCATGACTTCTAGAAGCCTGCAACTCAGATATTATAAAAGACTGAAATTACATTTTGGCGTCAAAGCAATTCTGCATTTCAGTACATCCCACCAAGGATTCAGCTGCGGACCACACCTGGCTCTCAGATTTCCAGCAGATTTCTGGATAAATGACTTTGAGTAAACAAGAGTCTCGCTAAGTGAAACCGTATGGAAACACCACGCTCCTGCCGCGGACAGACAGCCGGCATTCAGCACTTGTTCCTCTCTACTAATCTTTGCACAGACTTCAAAAGCCATTATATAAGGAGGAACAATCCCTGTAGTACTCTAATTGGTGTTTACAATAAACTCAACATGGCTAGAAATGGATTTTAAACAAAGCAGGCCGAGTCTACTTGAACTCATTTCACACCAAAAACTAATAACAGTGCAGAGCTACAAGAAAAAAATCTGGCTGTGCACATTTTCTTGGAACTCCCAGTATGAATGAGTCATGTGCGCACGTCAGCAGAGCCGTGCAAGGTGCAAGCCGAGTGCTGGTGAACAAACGAAGAGAAGGTCTCCTTATACAGATTTGTATATGCCTGTTTAATGCCTCTGCAGATGCATTTCACCTCTTTGTCTCTCATATTGATTTACAGATGGTGATTCACAAAAGGGGAAACCTACATTTCAAACATTGAGTATAACTGGCATTTTAGTTGAATTACAACGACACTACAATAACTTAAGAGAACAAAAAGTTGTTTTATAAAAGAGTGTTATTGAAATGGGAATTGTGGTAATTTAGAAATGTCCTTATTTTGAGATTACAAGTTAGTTTGGGTCTTCTCTGTCTTCCAGAAATGCTCATAACAATCCCATAATAGTCTTCCCATTGATCTTCAATGACATCCACTTAAACACAGACAGTGGCAGAACTTCAGTGTTAGTATTATTAGATCTCAGTGCTGCGTTTGACACTGTTGACCACAACATATTACTAGACCAACTAGAAAACTGGGTGGGACTTTCGGAAACAGTTCTACATTGGTTTGAATCCTACTTAAAGGACAGAAACAACTTTGTTTCTATAGGTAACTACACATCTGAGTTGACAAATATGACATGTGGGGTACCTCAAGGCTCCATCTTGGGGCCTCTTCTCTTTAACATCTACATGCTACCACTGGCTCAGATAATGAAGAACAACTAAATAAGTTACCATAGCTATGCAGATGACACACAAATGTACGTAACAATTTCACCAGGAGACTATGCTCCAATTGAACAAATCAATGACTGGATGTGTCAGAACTTTCTCCAATTAAACAAAGATAAAACTGAGGTAATGGTTTTTGGAGCCAAGGCAGAACATAAAAAAGTTAGCGCTGAGCTTCAGTCTGCAATGTTCAAAACAACAGATAAAGCCAGAAATCTAGAAGTAGTCATGGACTCTGACCTGAGTTTCAACAGTCACATTAAAACAATACAATACTAAATCAGCATACTATCACCTAAAGAACATATCTAGGATTAAAAGACTAATGTCACAGCAGGATTTGGAAAAACTTGTCCATGCTTTTATCTTCAGTAGACTCGACTACTGCAATGATGTCTTCACAGGTCTCACTAAAAAATCTATTAGAAAGCTGCAGCTGATTCAGAACGCTGCTGCTCGAGTCCTCACTAACACTAAGAAAGTGGATCACATCACTCCTGTTCTGAAGTCTTTACACTGGCTTCCTGTGTGTCAAAGAATAGATTTCAAAATACTGCTGCTGGTTTATAAAGCACTGAATGGTTTAGGCCCAAAATACATTTCTGACCTCCTGCTAAATTATGAACCATCCAGATCTCTCAGGTCTTCAGGGACTGGTCAGCTTTCTGTCCCCAGAGTCAGAACTAAACATGGTAAAGCAGCGTTCAGTTATTATGCTCCAAATATCTGGAACAAACTCCCAGAAACCTGCAGGTCCGCTGCAACTCTGACTACTTTTAAATCCAGGCTGAAGACTTTTCTTTTTGTCGCTGCTTTTAATTGAACTATTCATGTCTTAGACTGCACTGTAACTTTTATCCATGTATTTTTTCTTTTAATGTTTATTTTATTAACTTTTCTTTTTAATGACTGATTTTAAATGCCATTTTCTTAATGTCTTTCATTTTTTGTAAAGCACTTTGAATTGCCTTGTGTTGAAAAGTGCTATATAAATAAACTTGCCTTGCCTTAAAATCTAAATGTTATATTTGAAAACAGAATAAAATGGAGCAGCTTTCCAACTCAAGACACACTCTCTCCAGGTCAACGGCCTTCACAGAGTCATACAGCAGTGTGAACAACTAAGAAGCCTTTGAACTGAGAGGTAAGTGACACTGCAGTTAAGGCAGATGCCATAAAGCAGTACTCTCTGCTGTACTGCATCACCATGGTAACATGCGTGCCAATAACTACTGTGGATGGCAGGGTGCGCCTTTCATGGCACCGCTACACCCATCTGACTCACTTGCACACAAACACACACGCTGTCATTATTACAAAACCTGATTGCAAAACATCATTAGCACAATGCCAGACTACGCTGGTGCCAAACAAGACCTCATGTTGATCCCAAACACACACACAGGTCGCAGATTACGCTGAAAGTAGAACCAGTGAGCGCGAAAACACTGACAGCTCCATTCCTCTCCACACTGCCTTTCCCTTATTCAGTTTCTCTAATTCATCTTTCCCCTCTTTCCTTCTCTACTCAGCTCCTCTCCTGTTGTTGAAGCTCCTTCTTCTCTCCGCTAACCTCTCTTCTCTGATCTACACCTTTAAAATCTCCATCTTTCGGCCAGCTGGCGTCAGGACACAAACCGCCCTCCACTGTGGCACAGTGTCAGGCCCGAGAGAGCAAGAGGACCAAAGGCGGAGGGAGGGAGACAAGTGTGCTGAAACAAGTGATAAAAGGAGATAGGAGAGGAAGAAAAGAAGAGGAACGTGATGACAGGTAAGGACAGCAGGTGGACAAAACAAGCTGAGTGGACCAAAAAGTAGAGAAAGGAAGAGTTAAAAAGAAACAAGGAGATAGCAGAAAACAAGTTAGGTTGATAACAAAAGGTGACAGCCATTGTGTTATCTTTTCTTTATGTTTCACTCACTATGTCTGTTCCTATTTAATCCTCTCTTCTTATAGCCACACTGATACGTCATTATTATTCCTCAGCGGTCAGCATGCATCCATGTGCATCACAGAAGCAAACAAACTTGCATGCTCGTGATTCGACTGCCCTTAACACTCTCACAAAGTCATTGCTGATTAATTAAATCCCTGAATTTCCAAAAAGTCAATATTTCTAAGGAGAGTTTCACCTTATTTTCTCAGGATCATGTGCCGGCCCGGCCTGCTTGGTTTCACTTCATAAAACAGGCCAAAATCCACTTTTAACATCAACAATACTCTATTAGAGTGAGGCTTTCACATGTTTAGAATCAAACTGTATTGTCATATAATTTAAATGACTAGCACACACCAATCTCTTAATCATCAGTAAAGGAAAATGGCTAAACAATAACAACAATGTACTGCTTTGAACTGGCAAATTGTTCTATGTATTTTAATTAAGTTCAGAGTGGTGTAAAGTTCAGGCTTCATTAATAATGCAGCGAGGGTTGGGCAGTGATGAGAGGAGCACTGACAGGACAAAAGGAAGGGTTTAGCTGAGGTCAAACTCACACAAAACTAAATATTGTTCAGATGACTAGGATGCCTTGCAAACATGGTTTTTAGACTTAATAAGGCAAATCCAAAACAACGTGAAGTAGAAAACATACGAGATTTGTTTTTCTCCTTTACTCACACAGAATTAATTAACCTGGGACTGCTAATCGATAAGTCACTAAGACAAATAAATGTCATTTATCGTGATAATTGACCTTTATTGATTAATCGTTAAAGCTGGTATTGGAACCTCGAGTTAAAGAAACTATCTCCAGTTATAAACTTGAAGATCTCCGTTTTTTTTTGTTTTTTTTTCCCAGGACACAGACACCCAGTTTATAATACTGCAAATGAAAGGGCTTTAATCAGGGCAATTTACTATTAAATAACTCCATTTCCAGATGGAATAGGACAGATATTTAAATATAAATCTTTGAGATATAAAGTATTTGGATTCTCAAGTTCAACCCATCATTCACAAAACAATACATCAGGCTTACCTTGGGCTCCATGGAGATGAAACTATGGCGACCGCGGCTGGACAATGTCGACCTCTTGATGGTCCGGCTATGGAAGAAGTGATAGTGGTCTTTGAGATCCCCGATCTGCAAAACACATGTATACATTATTTATTGTTATCTATTATTTATTTAGAAACTTATTTATGAATTCCATAACCCTTTCTACCTCACATAACTCATTATTGTAACCAACAAAATGTAATCATCAACCGTGTCCTCTATTTATTCTTCTAGAGTCGTTTTGCATTTTGAAACAGATAGACACGTGCTGTAAACACATTGTACAAACACAAGACAGAAATTATGAATAGAGTAAAGTCCTGTTGTGAGTGACTGAGTACTTTAAAGAATAAATGTGTAATTTGAGGTCCTTCTCTCAAAGTAGTAGAGTAGGTTATAGTTTTAATATCCATGTTTGTCAAATGTGTTGATGTAGGGCAGCCTTGATTGTTGATCATTTTAAAATCGGTTTTCTAATCTTAAAATGCCTAGGTTGATCGGTGCTCAGCGATTTTGTGGTTCCACTCAAAGCTTGAGTTTTTTTAAAACAACATGAAATGTGAGGTGACCTTGCATGAATCCTTGTTTTATAGAAAACAGCTTTTTCCTATTTGGGGGATCAACATATCGAATTCCTTTCCTAGAAAACTCAAAAGTGTATCCTGACTGAGATCCTTTTTATAAAAAGGACCAGTGAAGTAATAATAAGTGATATGATGCTTCTTCTTTTATGCAGCTTTGGTTTGTCTTAAATTAACCGTATTTCTCGTTTAGTTCTTTGTGTTTCAATGTTGTTGAGATTGTGTTTTGTTTAGTTGCCTGTTTATTTGTTGTTGTATCTAAAAAAAAATAAAAAACCATCTCGGCATAGGCATTGCAATTCCTTGGCTATGTCAGTCGTCGATTTTACATACCTGCCCTACAAACAAACATTAAAGGGCTATACAAAAAGTTGTGTTGAGGTCTTAAAAACTATTAGAGAAGAAGACGTGGACTAAAAGGTGAGACAGAAAGGGCAGCCAAGTCAAACAAAAACACACAATGAGACACACAAAGACAGAATGAGACAGACTGACAAGTGTACACACAGACTTTGAGTGACAGAGGGATGAGGAGAACGTCAAGCTGCTGGACAGTGGTGATTACTTTTAATAATTGATAAAGACCATACAATCCAAACTGTCATGGCTGCCAAGGGTCCTGTGGCGCGTCACTGATCCACAGCTGAGCTCCACCGCTACACAACCCATTAGATCAGCTTTCAGCTCAAAGCTCATGCACATACACACATTCTACAGCTTCAAGACAGATGAAATGAGAAACAAGAAAGTGCCAATTGGCCCTTCTGGATCACCTTCCAGCAAACACCAAACATTAGCTAAACATGCGGAACACGTTAGATGTCTTTGGTTATCAGAGTTAAAAGCATTCTGCATAAATGCTGAAAAAATGTGCTGCCATAATAGGCGGCTACCACTTTGGATACTTCTCATAGTGTAAACAGGTCCAAACATATCATGCTTCCAATGCCTATTTAATCTACCCAACATCTGCACTCCCATTAGCAGGCCACCCCTCACTCTAGGAGTGTCTGTAGGGAAAAGCTCTACACACAGAATTAAAAAAACCCTAAAGGCAGGTTTTAAACTTCACTGCACTGCTCTTTTTAAAGCCATCTACAATGTGTGTTTTTAGAAGAATCACCTAATAGAGTGACATGCACATCCTAATCATAGCTTCAACACCACTTGTAATACATCTCCCTCCCGCGCTTAAATGTTTGTTAACTTCCACTTTTTGTGTCTGAGGACACCTTTGCGGCATCTCGAGGGGTTCATCCTCCTATTGAGTTTCGAAAATAGAATAAATAACAAACGGCAGAGGTGATGAACTCAACTGAAGTCAATGAATCGGAACTTCTGCATCATCTTTGGTTACCAGGAATTATGACGTAACAAATGTGTGAAGCCAAACTACTGGCAGTTCATTGATTCATGATGTATTGCACCACAGGCGTTTTTTATTTTATGTATTACCATTTCAATCTTACTTGACACATGACTTAAAGTAATACCACTTTTGCCGGGACTGATTCAGGGTGTGTAATACTTGGATTAGACTTCAAAGATATAGGTGTAGGCTTGACATGAATAAGTGAGAATAAGATCGCCGTTTGCAGCCACAGACGTGAGGGTAAGTGCAAAAAACATCTGGTGTGCCTACAAAAGTGTAATTTGGAATTACAAAATAAATGTTAACTTTGTCCTACATGGTGTGACATCAAGGTTGACGCTGATACAATCCAGTCCCCATATGGATAGATGGAGACAAATTGACACGGAGATTTCATGTATTCTGTTAAGGCTTGTTGTCACACTGCAATATAATCTACTGGCCCATCATAAGAATTCAAATGGATCAGGCTAGACACCGATTGTTTTTGTTAATCATCAACACTGGATTATCAGCTTGGTTCAAATGATCAGCATGAGTGATACATTTCTTATTAACAACAACATCCCAGGCCTGATCCCTTTAAGAACCGACAGATCAACCAATAACCACAAAACGCCTTATCGATGCAATGACCCCTTCCTGGGTACAGATCATAGGTCTACCTCTCAATGGATCCAACTCCTCTCTTCAGTTTGAACAGATATCCACATCAAGGATCTTGTCTTGTGATTAGACTCATTTTGGGCCACTGTCTTAGTCTGGGAAGGGGGCTCCATGGTTAAGAGGATTACCCAGAATTCCCCAACGAGATGCTCTCTCACTCCATGCCAACTCTTTTCATCCTTCCGTCCATCTATCGTCCCTTCTTCTTCTCCCTCCTCCATCTCCTTGTGTGTGGTTATCTTTGTCTGTTTTTCTCTTTACACCCCTGTCAAGAAGAGTATATTGTCCCAATGTCACATGTTTTCCTTACCCATCCCCCTGTTTTGCTTTCCTTTACATGGGATAACCCCATTAGATTTATCAGTAATATACCTAAACAGAGTATTCCAAACGGTCCAATGATTATGAATAGTCAAAGCAAGTTTAGTTGAAATAACTTTTACTGTGTGCCTTCGCAATATACAGTAATTTCCAACTGCAAAGAAATGCAATATGTGTTCCCACTTGATAAGTTAAAATCAATGTTCAATATTTATTAGTGCTGCACTATGAGGGAGGGGGTTGATGATGGGGATGTCAAAGTTCACATTAGGAAACTAGAGTGTGCTGTTATCGCTCCCATGGGAGCGGCTTTCAGCTGACCCCAAAACCAGGAAGTGAAGTAAAACTCTTGTCTATGAGGTGTCAAAGTCCAATGAACACTCCATATTGAGATGGAAATTAGGGCGAATGGTGGGGGTTGGGGGCGACAGTGCACTCCACAGGGGAATTCCTATGGGGGCTGGTATGGAAAGGGGGGGAAGACTCCACACATTAGTTCCCGTCAAAGAGAGGGGATAAACGAGGCCATTAAGGCCTGCTCTCTGGGGAGTATAGTGGGTGGGCGGGCTGGATAAGGCGAAGAGGAAAGGGGTGAGGGGGGGGGTTCAATAGCTGTTGACTAGGCTACCCCACAACAACCTGTCAGAATGCCCCCCTCTGTTCCACGCCGTCTTCGCGTCGGCAAGTGCAGGCATGAACTACCCACGTATTTTGGTCACGATACTCTGAAGTATGTGTGGGGTCCATGCTTGTGTGGTGCATTTCTTTTTCATTACAAAGGGACACCGGGTTCTTCTTTAAACTTTGCCAAAACAAAGTGACCATTAAAACCCATCCTCCTGGACCTGTGCAGTCCCTGTTGGATAATAAAATGACATATAAATCGCAGTGTTTCCCTCCCGTACTTATGTACCTTTTTTACAGCTCGGGTTGGAATTCATGTTAGATTTAACCTCCATTTGGCCTTGAAGGTCAGATCTGAATTTTAAGGTGTTACACTGTTGATGCACATGTGCTTGGTGGTTTACTACTACCAATAGATGACAAGCTTATTTTCAATGTGTTCAGCTAGTGGTGGATTATAATTAATTAAGAAACACAGAAGAAAAACAACTAAACTGTCATTTATGTTGGTGTATTCGAGTGTTTACAAATTATCCTAATTGAAGGCAAAGCTCAACAGTTATGATTACTAGCAGCCGACCCAGTGGGCTCACATGGATACGTTTTAATACTCATAGGATCATCTCTTCTGTAATGTAAAATATTGGCACGTTCTTAAATGAAATAGTTAATGTTTCCAAATAAATCAGGAGTTTTTTTGTTATCAAACAGTCCTGGAAAGTATGGGAAACTACCGTTTTAGTGTAACAAATAACCACGATGAGGCTCAGTTTGACTGTGGTTCTTTTAAATGTCAATTCCCAGACCACAAGCCAAACAGCAGTCTCACTTGTTTGTCGAAAGGACCAAGCACATGAGACTGCTGTGGCTGAGAGCTCCCTGTGGCTGAACATGATCCGCAGAAACAGTGAAGAGGCACCTGTTGTGCCATCCTGCCCTTCTTTACTTGTTCCCTGCAGGTTCTCTCTCCTTGTCTCGGGGACACACAGCTACAGAAAGACCAGGCTGAGTTAGAGAAGGTCTGTGGCTCAGGTTTGGACTTCAGACCACTGACTTCGTATTGTTTGTTTACTGCTAAAGTAATAACAACATTAGTCAAAAACAAGAAACGACACATCCCTACAAATAAGAGGCAACTTTTGATAGAGCATTAGACGACTTACCTGTCCCATGTTCCTATAGCCGTATTTATCCGCTATCCTCTCGGCGACATCGGGTCCACCGGCTATCCTGACCGCCCAGTGGTTGGTGTAAATCCGAGCATTGCACGGCGGACACGCAAAGCTGAGACTGAGCGCCAGGATGCACAGCAAGCTTCTTCTACAAGCGGCGTTTTGGACCATCTTCCCCCCACTTTAACCCGACTCTTGTCCTCCTCCTCCTCCTCAGCCGACCAGGCGAACAACCAAACTTCTCTTCTCGCCGAGCAAGACTCTCATGAAAACACAACTATCCGGTGCAAATACGTTTGAAGAGAGAGGAAGAGAGAGAGAGAGAGGGGGGGAGCAACGGAGCCCCAAGGAGGAAAAATCTACCTTATCCTCAAACCTCTGCTTTCCACATGGGAGAGTTGGAAGTTTGGGTTTCGTGTGCCCTCTGTTCCTCTCGCTGTCTTTTTTTTTCCACGGCGGAGGAGGGAGAAGTGGACGTGTCTGCGCGCCGTGCGTCTTTGCGCGTGAGTTCGTGTACGTCTGTGCGCGCGCGGAGCTCCTCAAAGCTGATTTCTCTTCTCCACGAACAACTCGGATGTTGGTCGTTCAGCTCATCGGGCTTTCATGTGGCGAAATGGCTACAGCGCCTCCCCACAAATAACTAGCTGACACTCCGGAGAGTAGAAACAACTGAAGCCGCGGGGTTTCCCTGCCGAGCTCCGCTGGGTCTTAAAGACACTCCGCCGCCAGCCAGACACAGACAGGGGGGTCAAACTGGGGGCCAGGGAGCCACTTGGGGACCAGCTTCCAGGGCTTTCTCCAGGAGGGCCTATTGTTAAAATTAAGAATAATTTACTGGAAATGGTCGAAAAGTAAATAACAATTGATTATTTGTATTGATTGTCTTAATTGAAATGACAAAAGAAACATATTATATTTGGCAGTGCTCATGTCAATGCTGTTACTTCCATATCAAGAATGCATTACATCACAACTGCTACAATATGGTTCTTTTTGTGGTGCATTCCTACATAGTAACCATAACCCTGACCCTGTTGCCCTGACCTTGCACTGACCCTATAACCCAGGTCATAAATTCCAATAACTCCGATAGAAATTAAAAAAGTACAAGTAGCAACAGGCATTTGACATGTTTATTTTTTGTAAAAACCGGTGACTTTTTTTTAAAGCATTACTTTAAAGACTTTTTATTAGCAGCTTGCAGTAGCAAGGTGGTGTTCTAATTATTTCTGTGGGTGACTTAAATATTAGTATGTTTGCTAGTGAAACAAGCTTTCTCCTCTGAAAGTTTACTTTAAAATGTCCCTCTGTTAACAAGTGGATGCATAACGTTTGGACATAGCTTCCCCGTCCCACACCTTTAAATCTGCTGTTGAAAGCAAGCCTTGTTGGTCTCCTGGGAAATATTGACATAGTCATAGCAATGCTAGGTAAACCATGACCTCCACCTCAGTCATCATCCAATGGGAAACAGCCACAGAAAAATATATATCTTAAAAAGAACATGATATCACTCTTTTTCTCCCTTAAAACAACCAGCCATTTTTCAACTTTATCATTTTCTTGTTGTGAATGTCAGTTATTTATGGCTGACCGTTTGAATAGCTTGCAATGTATCTTGCAGCAGAGTGGGTGAACAAGATTGAGTCAGCTAAATCGCTGGTCATGAGCTGATGTTCGATGTGTTTACCTGTCATCCTGTAAACAACCACAGGGATATTATTTTTTGTCTGGGTTACATGACCACCACTGCCATGCGCTAGCCAACTTTATTGCATATTCCCCCTGAATCAGTGAAGCTCTAGACGTCATGCCCCACATCGCAGCACAGGTCACAGCTGACTAAACGCTGTCATTATGGAATGTGCCCGGTATTATCCGTGTTGAGCCTTTCATTCAAGGCCTTTGTTGATTGATGGGTTTTTGTTTTGCAGCAGTTTCCCGGGGATGTCTCTGTGCACAGCGAAAAGTCTGTTCTTCATGGGACACAAGTGAAAATCAGCATAATTGCACTAATTGCAGCCAATTTCTCACTGAATGGACCCCGCTGTCACATCTCACAACACAGGGGGACAAGAACATCTCATGGTCCCCCAGATGGAGATGAAAGAGAATAAGAAAAAAAAAACACTCAGTGATCATTCTCCATTCAGGCAGATGGGGGGGCTTGAAATTTTAAGAAAATAAAGGGAGGAGACGAAACACAGAAGAAATTAATTTGAGTGTCTAAATCAAGTACCCAGGTCACGAGGCCACCTTGAGAACCAGGGCCCCCAATTTCCATTCAGGTCCGAAGTGTCGCGATATCCTGTGTGACAGACTCACTGCTCCCCGGGTTTCTCCAGGGAGTGAACCGAGTGAACCCCAACAAAACGTCTTTGTCAACATGTGAGAGCGGATCGGTCATGAGTGTCAACAAACAGTCTGAGGGGCATTCCTGTGTGCATTCCTGCGCCTCTTCAATGAAAAAACTTGGTGCATTGCGTGTTTAGGCCCAACACAACTTTAAAAAAAACTTCACACAACCCCCAGGATACAACACAATGGAAGGCTCCAATTGGGAACAGCAGCCAAGAAGCTTTATTCACCAAGGACACAGCTAATTTGTTCATTCAGTAGCAAGCCCAACATCTTAAGGGGAGAACCTCCCACGTGATTTTCTCATCCAGGGGCGTTATCAAACGTGTGCCCATCTTGCATTCAAGGGCATCTTGCGATTACCCATCAACCACTGCTTCTCCATACCTCTTTAATGTCCCTGCATTTAGGGGTAAGCCTTTGCTTCACGATTATTGCTTTGATTGTTTATGTTTTTACACTTTTTCTATTTTTTTATAAATCTGAATTCATTCTTTATAGCCTGTATTTCTTTCAGGGGTTTTTTCATTCGTTTCACCAAGTCTGCATCTTGATTTCACTCTTTTTTCATTCATGTACGTTTCTGTTCCTTCAGTTATGGCCTCGGGCTAGTTGCTCTCTATGACCCCCCTTATCTGTATCTCTCCCTGGGTGGGCTTCCTGAGAGTAAAGGTTGACCTTTCAACTTCACTTTGACCTTTGACCTTGTAGCTGTAGGCTCCTGCACTTAGGCCACAATAGCACCTGCCACTCACTCACTTTCCATCCTCTTTGCTCTGCATCTCCCTCCAATCACCACCATTCCGTTCTTCTTCTCTTCGCCCTCTCCTTTGTCAGACACATACCAGTGTGAGACAGGCTTTTCTGTGGTAACACACTTACTATACATTCTGTAGAGAGATGGAAGAAGGGGGAGACAGAGAGAGATAGAGCGGTATGGCAATGCAAGTCAAGGTTTGGTCTCCTGCATCCACAAGGAATATAATTTCTTATCTTCAATGGACTCATTCAGTATGGTAATGTGTATCAATTCAACAGTTTGAAAAAAGTCAAATAATGTAAGAAGAGTTTATCAGGTTTCATTATCTCAAGTGCAGGCATTGTCACACAGATGTCAACACATAAGATCAAATGTTTTACATGCCTTCCTTTAATTTGCGTATTATTGGCAATGCACTTTTTACTATGATGTATTCCATTCCATTATGTTACTTGTTAGACGCTTTTATCCAAAGCAACTTACATAATTAATACTGTGGACAATCTCCACAGGAGCAATTTGGGGTGAAGTGTCTTGCCCAGGGACACAACAAGATGCTGACTGCAGTGGGGATTGAACCTGTGCTCCCCTGATCCGAACACCAATGCACTAATCCACTGCGCCACAGCCTCCCATCTTCTTGTGTACTGAATGTGACTGTGCATTTACTCAGCACAGAGGTCAATGTTATGCACTCTAAATCACCTTTTAAATGAAATTACTTATTTTCTTTGTAGGCCTACCTGGGAGCTGTGTCCCACCTGGTCTGGTTTCCTGTTTAAAAAAAAAAGACTGCTGTGTATGGTATGGAACCGGCATTTTGCTTCATGATACATAGCTATATATTGTCATCTAGTGGTCACTAATAGAATTACAAATATAAGTTAACGGTTAAATCCTATCAATATTATCATATTTGTGCCATTTTACACTTTTACAGGAGGAGAAGATTTACCCTCCACCTGTTAGAGAACATTATCTTTGACAAAACTGTATCCACCTCCCTCTTGCGCTACTACTTCTCTAAAAAAAAGCAAATGGGGCTAGGTCTGAAACAGGCTGATATCCCAGTTTATCTTGTGTACCATTTTCTCTCTTTCACATTTTGGTTTGCATGGCTGTATACGTTACATCTAAGACAACGTGATTTTGGTTAATTGCTGTAGTCTGAAAGCCAAATTATATTCTCCAGTTGTCTTGTTACTTATTTTCATATTTAATTATTTTTAAACTATAAGAGCAGTCAAGCCAAGAACAAATACATTCCCAATATTGAGTTAAAACTGTTTAATTTTCGTTCCTTTGGTTTTGTACAAAGTTTTTAATTAATACCATCGTGTAATATGCAGGTTTCATATGATAGAGCCACCTGCGTCTCACACCAGCTGGGTTACCATATGGCCAAAGGGCTTAAAAGACTATTACAGAGAACCTTATGGCAACCTGATCACAGAAAATGCTCATTTGCCCGTGGATCAAACATACCCAGCTCCCTCAGCGCTTCACACAACTCTGCACATTTACAGCAGAACCTCTCACCAGTTCATGAAAGGAAAAAACAAACATCTTATTAGTTCACTGAGGAGCTACAGTAATGCAAATTAAATCTAATCAATTTGCATGAGCTTTGTGTATTATATAACTTATGTCTGCTTAAACTGCCTGTTGAGACATCATATAAGCCACAATGTTACAAGGTATAAATTATATACTTAACTGCTCACTCAACCTATTATTTATTTTGTATAGCAATGGTTGGTTGAGTAATTCAAGTACACGTAGACATGTTAATGAATTTTTGCATATAGTATATCATCTTCTAAGGGTTTAGGAAGTGGAGTTGCAGGATATCCCAATTAAGTGTTATCAAAAATGTTGTTCCAGATTTGGTTCAAGTTAAATATAAACATTTTGAAGTAAACTTTTGTCACATCTGATTGTGAATATTTGAAAGATCTATCTTTAAGCAATGATTGACAAATGAAAAACACAATATTTTGAAACGGTCATTTTAAATAAATGTATGAGCTGTATATACAGGCACCTATACTAATGTTTCCATGCAATTCAGCAATTTGGATAAAGTCTTCAGGTTACCTTTTCTTTGTTTCCTCATGAACTGTAAATCTAAATGGATGAGTGGCCAGAAGGTTTTTGACATTTGAAATCTCTGCCATTGCATACATAGATCAGAAAATGTGTGCCTGTATAAGAATGTAAAAGAAATCCATGTGAAAAAAAACTATCATGCACAACATACACAAACAAACTCAGAAGTCAGATTTTGAACTGCTCAGAACTTTTATTTCGAGGGAAATCAGGGTTAAAATTAAATAAAAATATAAAATTTAGATGGGCAGGTCTGTCTTTAAGGGAGGGAACTGACACAAGCGGAAAAGGAAGAGGCAGGAGGGGAACGACAGGAAGCTACAAAATTAAGTTTGTGGGATGAGCCTGGTCATTCAGGAAGTTATGTATAAAAAAAGAAAAAAGACTAGACAGATGCAGTTAGTTATTATAAACCCCACCCCCATCTGAAATGTCCTCATACGCAATCAGTGCTATAGCTCTCTCTTTTTCCTTTTTATGGTTTCTTATAGGAAGTTTTAGATAATTTCTCTTCACCATCATAATTACCATCTCATTCTGTCTTAATGTAACATATTTTCCTGCAGTTTTGAAAAAAGTAAACAAAAAGTCCTTCAAAAATAAAATGCAGCAACCACATTTTATGTTCTACTATTACATATACAGTATATATATATATAAATACATACATAAATATCTTACATGTACAACCAATTTTGAAATGGGGGAGGAAGAGAGAATCCAAAAGACTTATGAGGACTTGTGGAGGTGGGGGGAGCGGGACGAGGAGGCCCAAGGTTGCTCATTGTGAAGGTAGTGTGTCTCTGTTTTTTGTTTTAGCTTTACACACGCACACACATCCTTTTCTGGGAGAGGGGGCGGAAAGCATTCCTCAGTTGGCCCAGTAGGGGGAGCTGCCATAGCTGGACTTGCTGCCTTGGGTTTTCTGTTGCATGCTGTTGGACTGATTGCGCTGACCGGGACCACCCTGTGGGGGGAAACAAGCCATTCAGTCAATAATGGTGAAAAAAGAGAAACAGGTTTATTACATTTTATGTTGCTTCTATGAATATTTTCCATGAACCTTTTCACGGACTCAAACGTCACAAAAATCTATCTATAGATCAAGAATTGGTCCCGATGCTACTGACTGCTTCGCGTTAAGCATTAAGAGGACCTGACTAAAGTTCAAACCATCCATGACTATTTTCTTCAGAAAGGCCCATTACATTTGAAAGAATAATTCACCCACAAAAGTTGAATTTATAAACAAAAACCGACCATTCGCATGTTTTGCAATCGTTCAACGCGGCCCTTGTTTACGTATTTTGGGAATCTTTCGTTCACTGTGGAGTTATGCAAGGGAAACTTTTTTTTCAAGAATTTAAGACAACATGAGGCGGGTAATTGATTGCAAAGGAGTTTACTTGTTTAGTAGCCCAACTAGGCCTAACCTTTTCTTTTGGCATATTTGTGTTGTGAAAACCCTGGTAGGCAGAATGTGATTCATGACATTTGGTTTACCTGTCCATCTTGTGTGAGGTGATGGTGCAGCAGCTGGGAGTGGGGCTGTTGGTGCGGTGGCAGGATGTGCATGAAGGGAGCAGGGGCGTAGCCAGGAGCCCCCCCGGGGTTCAAGGGCCCCGCACCCCCCAGTGCAGAGGGCAGGCTGAAGGGAGGCGGTGTCCCCGTGTGGAAGCCCTGCTTGTCAAATGACTGGAGAGAACAGAGACATAAGACGTTACATTTGCAAATACAGCATGTCCAGAAAAAGAGCTAATTTCATTTAGCTTTCAATAAACATGCTACTGTAACCAAAGTTTACAATATAAGTAAACGGGCAATTCAAAACGATGTGCTGATAATGTGAAGGTATTTTCTAGCTTCAATGAAGAGACTTATTTGCTAAATGGGTCACAGGAGTTATTTTAAGACCATTATCCAACAAGCATTACGTCTTGCACTAAATACAGGCATACCACATGACAGAAGTCACTCACCTGAGCTTTGCTGTAGATTGACCCTCCCATGTCAGGTACGCCTCCACTGTTACCTGAGCCTGACAGTCCTGGAGCTGAGAGCAGAATAATAGGAGGGAATAGGAAAGATAAAAAGGAAAGATTGAAATGAAGAAGGTTGGAAAGAAAACCATATAGAGAAGAGGAGAGGGGAGGGGGTTAAGGGAGAAGAAGTACAACTGTGTCACTTCACTGATGATAATTGAATATGAAACATTTCAATCTCCACTGTTAGTAAGAGGGGGGCCAGCCAGTAGGAAGAAGCATATTAAGTGAGGAGGTGCAGAGGCATGTCTCTCACTTTTGCCAATATTCATTTAAATGCACATCAAAGTGCAGTCACACACACGTGCATTTACACACCTCCCTCCAGTACACTCTTGACTGTAGAATCATCTGCAATTGTGAGTACATCCGGTTTTTTCCGACACGGAAATGCCCACTGACATTGACTGGCTTTTAGAGTGTGCGCACATGTGTTGTGTATGTACCTTTCCCTGGGCCGCCGCCCGTTGATTTGGCCTGTGATTGGACAGAGCCTCCGTACCCTCCCTTACTGTACTCCCCACCGTGGGCTTGAGACAGGTCATCAAAGGCTGAAGGAGGAGGAGGAGCAGGAGTACAGAAGAAGAGAGGATGCAGAGCGAGCAAAGGAAAGGGAGAGAAGAGAAAGAGATAAGGTGAAGAGAAGAAGAGGAAAGATGATGGGCACAGAAAAGAGAGGGGGGCAGGGGAGAGAGAGGCAGTAAGGTAACCTGACTAAAATGGCAGCTGTGTCTATATTGAGCCGTGTCCAACTTCAGCAGGGGGTTTGAGCTATGCATGCAGCACAAGCCAAAAACACACACAGGCCCAAGTCCACACACACACATGCAGCGTAAGGTGTATAAAGGGTTGGAAATTAAATGGTCTTTTCTCCCTCTACACTGTCCACCCCTAATTCATTCCAAGGTCTCGGAATACACATTATGGAATTCAAAGAGTCCTTACGCCAAAACTTCTACAAGACAGTAACTTGTGTACTTTTTCAGAATCATAACACGGAAGCGAATGGCCAGATAACGCACCAATCACTACCAGAACTTTTCCAACTGGTGAAGTCCATCAAGTAACCTTTCCACCTTTTTCTTGTGGCAAGTGGCGGTGACAGTTTGTGCGATTGAGATATTTTTGCAGTAATATTTTAAGATAAACCTGTGTTCAAATAGCAAAGCACAGGTTTAAGTAAGATGCATCAAATCAAAACTGGATGAATTCCTGATTTCAAACATTTTATCATTAATTGACTAAAATACGATGTGCTGGCTGTCTGGAAACACCAGTCAGTGCAGTGACAGCCGGAGCCTTCTTGTTTTGTTTTGTTTTTGTTTTTTCTGCCAGTCTTACCTGCGCCATATGCATGCTGTCCGTAATTGGGCTGATGCTGTTGATGATACTGATTGGAGGGGTTGGCAAGGCCCATTCCCTGTTGCTTGCCCGAACCAGGAGGCACAAAGACGGTGGGGCCGTACTGGAACGCTGAGGGAACACCTGGCATACCAGCGTAGTACGGCAGACCTGTACAAAAAGAAATGATAAATTCCCATCGCTCATTGATCCTTTGCGAAGTCCCACCCCTCGCTGCTATTCTATCAAGCTGCTGAGGTTACCATGGAGTCCTGCGTTCGGGGGGACCATTAGGAATAAATGCTTGATTCAAGGATGAGTGGCCTGGCAATACTCATTGTGCTCAATTGTTTCGCACAACTTCAGCAAAGTGCGCAATCTGCTGAACCTCATAAAAAAAATTACTACATTATCACGAGAATGGGAGATTCAGTCGATTATTTCCACATAAAAGGATTAGGATATGTGCTTGATAACGTCATCATTATCTCCAGGCCAAACAACGTCAGAGATCAAATTAACTCAGCGAGTCATCAAGGAATATTTTCTTGTTCAAATAAATGTCTGGTGTAATCCGGTAAGAATGGTGTTGTCAATTAAGTCAAAGGTTGAAAATGTTCCACAGAATGGCATCCCAGTTCCTTACCAGTGTATCCGTAGCCAGGGGGCAGAGGGGGGTTGAGGAAGGCCTGGTTCTGAGCTTGCTGCCCCTGGCTCTGCCCCTGCCCCTGCACTCCGGCCTGTGGAGCCTGCGACTGCACCCCCGCAGAGGACAGGCTGGTGGGGGGGGCTGGAGATGAAGAATCATTCCTGCCAAACTTTGTTGCCTCACCTTGACAGAAAATGACAGTAAAGACAAAACGGAAGTTGAGAAAAAAAGTATCCGTTGAACAGCCAACATAAATGAGCAAAAGCAGCAAGCAAATAAGGAAAAGAGCCTAAAATGTCCATCTTAATGTTGTGCTAAACTCAATCGGCTGAACTGTGATAATATAGATTATCATGAGAATGGGAGATTCAGTAGATTATTTCCACATAAAAGCATTAGGATATGTGCTTCACTATCTCCAGAAAAAGGGACGAAATAAATACAAAAGATACAGACAGACATACGTTTCATAAAACGGAGTAATTGTGTTAAAAATGGACTTACCAGAATATGGATTATTGGCCAGGCTCTCTCTTCCAGGCATAGCAGCCGTAGTACCAGGGAATGTAACACCATAATAATCCTGAGTAGAAAGAGAAACAAATTAATATAAAAGCCAAAGGTGGCCAATCAATACATCCCAGCCGACTCCTTTGGGAATTTGTTGATTTCCAGAAAGCAGGGTACAGTGCAGGATAACCAGACTCACCATAGGAAGGCGAGACTGCAGCATTTGCAAGTCCTCGTATCCATAGATTTGCTGTCGAAATAAAAGATAATGTGGAGAATAATTAGAGATAATAAAATACTGTGTATGGATACACATCTATGGAAGTACCTACTTAACCTCACGGTTTCCTGCCAACTCAACTTTCATCTACTCTGCTTTAATCAGTGCGTGCCATAGACATCATTATGATCAGAAGCTACTAAAACAGTCAACACAAGCTCTATAGAATAAAGAGTGTCAAAACCAAAACACATTTCACTTTATTAACTAATGGTAAACACATGGCTCTTTAAGATTGACCGAATGAAGATGCTAAACAGTTTCCATATGATACAACACTTCAATTCCTTTTAGTAATCAAGCCTTTGGATCACTAGGGAACTAATGAATACACAAACAAGTACATCAAAGACATCAGGAAAGTGTATAGTTACCGGGTAAGCAGGGAGCAACCCCCCCGGGCCCATGATGTACTGGTTTGCCAGGAGAGGTGGCACTCCTTGTGCCAAGTTGGGAGGAGCTTTACCTGAAGAGGACAAACACGGATTTTTGGCTTGAATTAAATCATGGACATTGTTTAAGTAATTACTTATCTTGGGATGTATATAATACTACAGAAAATGACAGTAAAGAAGACAAAAAACGGAAGTTGAGAAAGATAATCTGTTAAACAGCCAACATGAAATAGCATAGAAGCAACCAAATAAGAAACAGAAAGTACATTGCGAAAGTTGTCTAAAATGTCCATCTTAATGTTATCGGTTGTGCTAAACTCAATCTTCTGAATAGGGATACGAAAAATACATTATCACGAGAATGGGAGATTCAGTAGATTATTTCCACATAAGGATTAGGATATGTGCTTGATAAAGTCATCATTATCTCCAGAAAAAAAAATGGACGAAATAAATAAAAGATACATACAGACGTGTGTGTAGTTTCATTTAACAGCGAGTCCTTTTGTTATAATTTAACATCATTTAGATACATTCGTTTAAATCTGTACTGCCTAATATGAGTGTCTAAAGTGCCTGATTCCACAGGCAATTGGGATGAGGAAGTCATTCTCCTTTGAAAGAATCTTTTGTAAATGAGTTCCTGTGTTACGGTGATGGGAACATTGAGCTTACCAGAGGTGGCAGTGAGCAGGGGGGCCCCGCGGTTGCTAGCAGCTAAGAGCGCAGCGGCTGTGCCGTTAGGAGTAAGTCCTGGTGCTCCAGATAGGTGCATACCATTGGAGATTGAACTGCTGACAGCCATAGGAATTGAGGGAATGGAATGGACAGCTTGGCTGGCCGACGAAAAGGCATGGAGGTGGCTGCTCTCCTCATGACTCATCTGCTGCTACAGGACAAGAGCAGAGTGAGTGAGCGGGAAGTAACCACTTACAGTCTTTCAGATCAGGTAATGATATCTTCATAAATCAACTGTTTGTTTTCCTTAGAGCTTAGCTTAAAATAAAGTCCTGTATTCAAATAACACAACTGCACAATAACTGAGTTAAAACAATAACTGTTTTCGCTCATCGATCCTTTGCCAGGCCCAACCCCCATGAAGCTACTGAGGTTACAATGGAGTCGTACGTTCGGAGGGGGGACACTTATTGTTTGGTCAATTTCCATTAGGAATAAATGCTTGATTCAAGGGTGAGTGGCCTGGCAATAGCAAGTGTACTCAATTGGTTAGCACAACTTCAGTAGAGTGCTCAATCTGTTGAACTGGGATAAGAAAAATAATAGTTTTTAAAAATACATTATCACGAGAATGGGAGATTCAGTAGATTATTTCCACATAAAAGATTAGGATATGTGCTTGATAACGTCATCATTATCTCCAGGCCAAAGTCATCAAGGAATATATTTTCTTGTAAAATATCCGGTGTAATCCGATGAGAAAGTCTAGTATTCAAATAACCCAACTGTACAATAACCGAGTTAACACAACTATGTTTTATGCAAAAATGCCATGTCCTTATATAGCCATATCTGCAAAGTAATGTAAGAGTAATTGTGTGTGTGTAAGCATAAACAAACACTTACAGTCAGGGAGGAGCTTGTGGCAAGGGCCAATCCAGTTGAGTGAGCACTGGTCACATGACTAGAGAAAGCAAAAAGGATTCAGTAAGCCTGCTTGAATCTATTAGGGCGATAAAGGTACTTTACACAGGAAACATTAGCAGAACAATGGGAGATTCAGTAGATTATTTCCACATAAAAGGATTAGGATATGTGCTTGTAAATGTCATCATTATCTCCAAGGGGGAAAAAAAAAGAGACAAAATAAATGAATCAAGGTGCAAGGTGCAATACATTAAACCATGCCGTACCTGCTGAGCGAGGGGATGGATGTTGAGTGGGAAGGTGTAACTGCAGGGGAAGGGATGTGGTGGCCACTGTCACTCGTCATAATGGGAGACTCAGTCATCACTGTTCTGGATGCTGACGTAGCTGAAAAAAAAAAAAAAAAGTGTTTGATGTCAATTTTTGTGGGTTGATGTTACAAGCTGATTGTGAGAGAAAATAATGACAAGTAATCGAAAAAAAAACAGATTGGTTGAGTATGTCCTGGTGTTTATCAAGCATCCTTCACTTTCAGTAAAAGGACAGTTTCCATTTCCTACCGGATGCATTTAGCGATCAATATCATATTGGATTTGATTGGCCACTCCGGTTGCTGAGTGTACTTACTGTCTTGTATGCTCTGTGTCTTCATGCCATTGTAGCCATTCTATGAAAAGAAGAAATCATCAACGTGTTATCATTTGATTTGTTATCTGTCAGTGTACTGTCAGATTTTAAGTAGATAGATTCTAGAAATAACAGTGAAGTTAGCACACATCCTATTGTCATTAGAGGTATTATTAGGATAAGCCCCTTGAGATTATCTCGTTTTCAGGGGGGGTCCTTATGCACTTAGAGAAAAAGGTTTGTCCTCACTGTAAGAGAAGCAGCTGATTGAACATCTTGGCTCTGAGAGTAGCCCATATGAGGGGGCAGGGACCTTTGCCCACTGGTGTCCACCCGGTTGGCTGGAGGAGCGACTGAAGAGGGTGGAGCTGATGCACTGGGAAGACCCATAGAGGGGGAGGGCGTGGCGCTGGGTAAACCCAAGGATGGTGATGGGAAACTGGGATCTGAGACGCCCATGGTGGGTAGGCTGCTCATGTGTTCACTGTTCACAGGACCAAGAGAAGGGAAAAGATGGATGAATACACAAGAACATTGAGAAAGAGAAATAAGTAAAAGGTGGGATGTATTATTACTGATTTCATTTAAACAGCCAACATAAAATTGCATAGAAGCAACCAAATAAGAAAAAGAAAGTACATTGCGAAAGTAACCTAAAAAGTCCATCTTAATGTTATCAGTTGTGCTAAATTCAATCTTCTGAACTGGGATAAAAAAATATATATATATATATATACTTTATCACGAGAAAGGGAGATTCAGTCGATTATTTCCACATAAAATGATTAGGATATGTGCTTGATACGTCATCATTATCTCCAGGAAACAAAGGGGACGAAATAAATAAAAGATACATACAGACGTGTGTGTAGTTTCATTAAACAGGTAGTAATTGTGTTATACTGTAACATCATTTAGATACATATGTTTAAATCTGTAGTGCTGGAGTAAATGGTGGGATGTATCATTACTGATTTAATTTAAAACATAAAAGCAGTTTTCTCTTTGTAACTTGTGCCTTACACCATTTCAAAACAACTCACACAAACCTCATGGATCCTGGCTGGGAGAACAGGCTGCTCTGCTGCTGCTGCGTGGGGACAGCCATGGGAACAGGAGCTGCCGGAGCCTGGCCCTGAGTCAGGGCGTGTTCCCTGGCCGACTCTTTCTGTCCCATGTCTACTGCTCCACCACCAGCCTCAGACCCAAAGTCAAGAGCCCCAAACTGAACATTCAGGCCGGGGATATCAGCTGAGCCCGGCATCTCTACTGCCGATGAAGGGATCTGAAAAGACAGGTTGGAATTGAGTATAGCTGATAACTTTCTAAACAATTTTATTTATTTTGCATGTGTTTTTCTACCATGTATGATACATAAAAGCATCAGATGTTTCAGTGTGTGTGCAAGGTTCTCTTTAGTCCAAAAATGAATGTAGACGTTAACTTGTTAGTGGCAATGTTCAGTCAAAATATCTCAAATTGCCACTTGAATGTGTTACAGTATAAATTGCCATGACTTAAGCAGCAGGCTTTAACAAATAAAGGTATGAGATGGATATACCGAAAAAGTATTGAATATTTATATGCACCCTTTGTGTTTGTTGACAAGATATTCTCCGTGATTGTGAAAAATAAAAGTCACGAGAGTTCAGTTTACAGCTTTAGGAAACTATTTGTTGAGTCTGTCACATCGTCTAGTCAAGCATGCGAGAGCAGATCAATTACTGAAAATAATTCCAGCTTCTACTATGTCTAACAAGTAACAGTCCTTTGTTATTGTTTCAGTGAAGTTAGAACTTGTTTTGTCATATAAGAACCTTCATATTTTAGAGTCGCTTACCTTTGAGGAAGGAGGTACTCTGCGTCTCTGTGTCTTTAGCTGCCGCTGAGGGGGTTCTGTGACGGAAGGCTCCATGCCTGGATACTTCATTCCTGGAGAGGCTCCATCTCTCATAAGAGAGACCGAGGACTCATGACCTAAAGAATATTAACACATTTGTTAAAGTCAAAGTAATTGTCAGAGCAGAACACAATGATAATGCACAGATACTGTTAGTGCGTTTGCACTTCTACAGATGCACTGAAAAACAATTGCTTAGGTAGTTGTATAGCAGACTAAAATACTTTTATTTTTCAGTCCACAGTGATCACAGTACACAACGGCAAAAGGTACACTTCAAATGTTGCCCTCACCTTCGCTAGCCTTACATCATATATCTATTAATTATTAAATATACCACCGCCATGCAGCCGTACCTGGTGGTGTAGGGACCTGTGGAGCATGCAACATGCCCAGAGGCTCTGTGCTGGGGAGGTTGGAGGACTGCTGCCTCAGCGACAGCTGGCTGAGCACCGCTGAAGGCTCCGGTTGAAGCTTCATGGCCACTGAAGAGAATGGAGATACATTTATCATTTTACTGTGCACTGTACATCTTGCATAGTAAAGAGGTAATAGGCATGTCTTACAATGTTGTGTTAGATTCCTCATCCACTTACTGTGTTGGGCAGTAACAGAGCCATTCTCCACTCTCCGAGTCTTGATTTCTGCAGAGGGGACAGGAGCAGGGTTCTGTATCGGGGATGGCCCTGCGTCTTTGGAACCGCTGATGTTGCTGGCTGATGCCAACGTCGGACCAGCTCTCTGACCGAGCCGAGGCCCGTTGAGCGGCTCTGACGCCCGGACATCAGCGGCAGGGGTCGGCTTAGGCGCATTGAGAGAACCAAACCCGGAACCCAGGACAGAGGACTGGTAGGATGAGAGAAACAAAACAAGAGTTGAATACACTGATACCATGTACAAGTGTTTGCTGGCGCTGTCATGTGTAAGTGCATGTACGTGTGGCTTTCTGTACCAGTGTAGCATGTGCGTAGGTGGAACTAGCCGAGGCGGCATGGGCGTAGCTGTTGGCTGTTGCGTGTGCATAGCTGTGTGTTGCAGTGCGTCCATTGTGGTGGGAATTGGTAAACACCAGGCTTTGGCCCAAATCCTCAGCTGAAGGTCCATCAACTATGGCCCCCAAGTCAGAGTCCACTCCAGAATTAGGCAGTAGGCCAGCAAGGTCCGCACTGAGGAGAAGCAATGGACAAGGGAGCAGAAAGAGTGAGGGGAATAGAGAGGAAGAATTTAATGAAGTGGGTCAAAAAGGAAAAGATAACCAAACTGATCAAATAAAGTGTTTATCCAAAATAAGCTTGATGTGTAAAAAGCTTAATTTCTTTTATGAAGTGTATTAAGTTGAATGCACATTTGGGCAGGGTGGCTTACTTTTGTCCAGGTGTGATGATGGCTGGAGGAGAAGAGGCAGTGAATACTTTGGTCTCAGACAACTGTAAAAGAAAGACATGGGCAAACACAGGCATCCATCAGATTAATCTAGGCATATGTGCTGTGCAGCCGAAACCATTCAGAGCCATATTTATTAGCCTTACATCCTCATTCCAGTCCTCTGAAGCCCAGTCTTCAACCTGGCCTGCCCATGGTCCTAGGATAAAAAAGACAAGGAAATCAGCCAGGTTAGTATTGCCGGGGTCTCACATACTCAGTGCTATGAGTTCAACGGTTTGGGGACCTTTTTTTAAAATGTATGCACTCGTATGCCCTAAATGCATGTTACTAACTAAGCATCCCTAGAGTTGTTGTGTCTCTTAGCTGGCAGTTGGCCAGTATTAAAAAGCTACTGAGGTCACCATGGAGTCCTGCGTTCAGGGAGAGGACTTATCGTTTAGTCAATTTCCATTAGGAATAAATGCTTGATTCAAGGATGACAATACCAATTGTACTCAATTGGTTAGCACAACTTCAGTGCTCTATCTGCTGAACTGGGATAACAAAAACCTTTAAAAAAATACATTAGCACGAGAATATGAGATTCAGTCGATTATTTCCACATAAAAGATTAGGATATGTGCTTGATAACGTCATCATTATCTCCAGGCCAAAGTCATCAAGGAATATATTTTCTAAAATGTCTGGTGTAATCCGGTAAGAAAGTCTAGTATTCAAATAACCCAACTGCACAATAACTGAGTTAACACAACTATGTTTTATGCAAAAAGGCCATTTCCTTATATATCCACATTTGCAGAGTAATGTAATGCCGGAACCGGTTTTCCTTTTCAGCCCTCGTTTTGTTCACACCGCCCAGAGCCTGACTGGTGCTGCTGCGTTATGACGTCATCGTTTACGTCGCTGATTTTCTCCCCAGCGGCGCTCACAACAACAACGAGGGACTGCGGCAGGTCGCTGATCGGGTTGCTTTTAAATCATACGAAGCCAGATTAAATTAAATAACGACTAGTCCAAACTTATACTTTTCTCCAGAGTGCCGTGGTTCATAGTTTATTAATGTGCTTAAGCGGCATTTACCGACCGCTGAAGTGCTGCCCGCTGTTTGGCATCACAACGCTGTTATGAAAGTTTCTCTGGCATAAAATGGGTGATGTTAGCTTAGCAACCGAAGCTAAACTGACTATCTTGACTACTTGTTGCTATCCTATTGTGGCATAAACCGTTTTCTATAGGCACATTTTACCTTTTCATTATGATTCTACTTGTCGGACATGACAACCTGTGCAGCCCATGTATTGATTCCATCCAGGGGTAGACATTAAGGTTAAAATGCCACTGGCCCTCCGGGCCGGTGGAATTGTATTATCACTGGCCTCACCATTGTAACCACTGGCCCGGAGCATTCGTCCAAAAAAAAATCGACTAATGAAGAAAATTAACACATTTGTTGCAATAGTAATTGATGCACGAACTACATTACTACAACATTTGAATCATCAGTTCTTCCTAAATTGTTCATATTTGGTTTATTAAAATAATGATAGTGGTCATTGTTAAAAATTGTCTGCTATTATGAGTATTATTATTTGTATAATGCACTTTCTGCCTTCCTGTCATTAGGAGTTAGACATGTATTGGCTATGTAATTGATTTGAATAGAACCTTCATTATCCTAAACTGCTGGGACATTTCCGCCAATACCTTTATATTTTCTACTTACTTGTCAGCATAGGTCGGCATTGATGTACAGAGCCAACTAAAGACCTTGTTTATATTGGCATAATATTGAGAGGTGCAGTGACGCGTCCTAAAACCAGGAAGTAAGCTGCTGGTTCCCTCGACAAAAAAGTAATGGATTTCTCCATAGGGTTTTGGAAAATAGCTGGAAATAAGGTCTGTGGAAAACAAACCTCTGATAAATGCACATTTTGTTCAGCCGGATAATCTCCACATGTCTACCCTACTTTTATAATTTTCGAATCATATATCTAATCGATAGATTATAAAAAGGGTTTGCTGGCTGAAACTTTCTCTCCCTCTTCTTCTCATGTTCCCTGTCACTCTCCTTTCACTCCTCCGGTAACTTTCTTTTATTTGAAGATTGTTTTTTGCCTGACGCTTGGCCGGTTACCACTGGTATTAAAAAGGATTTTGGCGAATGGTTAGGTGGCGCGATAGTCTGTAGTGAAGGAGCGCGCTCCCGCTCACGGGAGCCTGCTCGCGCTGCACTCCGCAACAAACAGCCATTTGCTTTTCACCCAACAACGACAAGCGACTCACGAAACAGCTATGTTGTAGCGTTAATAAACGAAACCATTTAACACAATTGCTAGTCAAAATACCAATACCATAGGACCATTTTTTTTTTTAAAGCAATATTTTTAGTGGCCCGAGCGGGCAAGTGGAAAGTACGTTATGCTGGCCCGGGGTGTCTAAATAGTGCTTCCGGGCCAGCGGGCCATTTATAGTGTTGAGCCCTGCAATCCGATAGCTGCTATAATAGAAAACGTCTGCCTGCTCTCCACAATGATCAATGACAGCGAACGGATGGACCTTTTATTAAATGTATGCACTCGTATGCCCTAAATGCATGTTACTAACTAAGCATCTCCAGAGTGTCTCTTAGCTGGCCAGTATTAAAAAGGTAACATCTGGATCATCAATAATGGCTGCCTCATTGTAGTGGTCAATCCTGATGCCCACTTTATTATTTTTTGGAAGCACCTGGATATCGTTGATAGCCTCCTGGATTCATATATATATATATATAGCTTTTTTAATATATATAAGTTTGCATTTTATATTGGCCATGTTTTAATGTTATTATACGTTTTTCAAAGGTTTTTTGTGGGGTTACTTTTTCCAATGTCCATTTTCGGGGTCTAAGGACAGAGGGTGTAGTCTGCTGTACACCCATGAAAGCCCCGAGACAAATGTGTGATATTGGGCTATATGAAACAAATTTGATACCAAATAAAAAAAGTCCAATTAAAAGTCTGCTTCAAAACATTTGATGTTCTGATATTTTACTTACCAGATCCTTCGGCAGGTCCATTGCCATCCCATGCCTCCTGGCGAGCTCGAGAGTTAGCCCCATAGTCAGATGGATTGAAGGTGCTGAAAGAAGTGGACAGTGGAAAAAAAGACAACAAGAAAGGTGAGGAGACAGGTAAGGTAGATGAGCCAAGATAAAATCAATGAGAATATCATCTGGTATGCTGTAGCTAATAAATGAGGAGATTCAGAATTGTTATTCATCTACACGTTTGTTTTTTAAGATATGTGCTTGTTATTACCATCATCACCTCCTCATCCTACTTCAGACTTAAGATTACAATTGACACATGTTCTTACCCCATTCCCTCGCCGGAGAACCTGGTGCCATCAGCTGCTCTTCCTCTACCGCGAACCCCTGCCCCTGAGGAAACAAAACAACCAGATGACATCATCTGTTGTAATCATTGATCTTTGTTGAGCATTAGCATACCTGCATTAATGTGTCTGTTTATTTTTAATATTAAGTTATATTTTCCCTTTTTTGTTCAACAATGAAAGCATAGCACAGGTAACTGCCTGAAATTGATACCAAACCAATCTGTAGGATACAAATTAAGAAGCATGAGCTATTGAGGTAACTGTTGACAGGCTGTCTGAACAACTCATAAGATCTGCATTTCTATGTTCAGAATCATTGAACCTCTGGGAATATTGGGTTTAGCGACTAGATAACTGCTAAAACACTCAGATATTAAATAAGTGGCAAGAATACCTGCCTTTCTCCGCTGTTAAAAGCACAACAACAAATCTGACCCCATTTCCTCTGAACCAGGCCTTGATCAACCTCACCATTCTTTATCACAAAATGCCAACCAATCAAGTCAGATCCTACTCCCTTTCTATCTCTCCAATCTCTTTATCTATTGACAACCTGCCTCACCAAACACTCAAGCAGCTGCAGGGAGTGAGCACATTCCACACATGTTGAGTGCTGCAACACTCTAAATGCCTGCAGACACAAATAGATGTGTTGCCAGCTACTTCATCAAAACATTAAAAACCCTATCTTATCATCTCTGTAGACAAGAAGACGTTATTAAATGTTCTTAAAGCATGCATTTCAGTTTCTAGCCTGCAGTCATTCTAATTCTTTTTTAATGTATCGTAAAAAGAGCATCTGAAAAATGTGGTTGTAGCTTTGGATCCAGCTTTATTCCATAATAATTGTATACTCAAACTGTGAGCTTTTGGCTTCATTGCTAACAAATGGCAATGTAGTAAATAATCTATGAAGGAGTGTAATTTCTCGTATGACTCACCTCTGCCACGCCCTCTGCGCCCACGGTCTCCCCCCCTTTCTCCAGGTGCCACCTCAAATCCATTCTCTTCTAACCGACCTGGAAACAAACAAACAGTGATTCATTTAAAATTGTGAACACTAAAGTGGAATAAAAAAATAACGTGGGGGTTTTTAATGACAGCTGCTGGTAAATTAAAGTTTATTAAATCTGGGAGAGACGGTTAGTTGACAAATCCATATACCAACCGTACTTTAAGCAACATAACAGTGATAATAAACAGTCGTCGATGAGGAAAGACGCATCAAAGAGAGGACATTATTTCAACAAACTAACAGGGAACCTGCAGAAGCTACACAAAACATATAGAGAGGCGTACCTTCACGCCCTCGACTGATGCCTCTGCCCCTCCTGTTGGACGCCCCACGTCCTCGACTAGCCTCTCTCTCTCCTCCCCTTTTCTCTCGGCTCTCCTTTATCTCTGAGGGTCCTTCTTTCCCAAGGCTCCTCTTTTTCCCCACTGTCTCCCAGGAGCTCTGACAGAGGTAAACCAGAGAAGAAGAATTTTTAAATACATTTAAAAAAAAAACTTGTATGTGAATTCTTCAAAACCCAAAGGAATTGCAAACAGATGTAAACACAAGCATAATAAAAAGTATCATATCAGTATGGTTCAGGAATGTATACATAAGACTCTTACTGGGTCAGAGGTGCTCTCCAGCATAAAATTGATGGCTCTGTTTACATCTTCGTTGCAGTCATGGAGGGCTACCACGCACTCATCTTGAGTCTTCCCAGTTACCTCAATCAGCTTTGAGTATGAAAAACAGACAGTCTTATGTTAGATCATCAATGATGCAATGAGGGCTGTAATGTTCAAAATGTTAAGTTTGAATATAGAAGACTGTTACCTGTTTAACCTTGTCTTCAAAGTCAGCATCATTTTTGTCGTAGATCACTTCGGCTAAGCGAATCTGTTCTGCTGTTGCCTGGTAGAGAAACAGACTTCAGTTTAAAACAATACATTAAGAAGACAGAGTCTGTCCTTTATCTTTTAATGCCAGACTAGTTTTCACCTATATACCATGCTTGTAAGCAAAGAAGCTTTCTGAAGACATTAATTTGAGGATATTCACGATTATCACAAAAAAGGGAATTCAATCGACCTAACTTGTTTAGCTTTTATTGCAATCTGTGATACCTTTTATCTTTCCATCCCTATTCAGTATGATAACGTTTTTTAACTAAAAATGTATTTATCACTTTGAGGCAACCTTTGGTTAGATTAAACAATAATACTTGAACAGGAGAGGCCTGGATTCACCTGTGAATGTCCAACAGTGACCCCTCACCTGTATCTGTTTCTGTGGCTGTGTTGTCTGTGTGGTGGCGGGCAGCGCTCTGTCCCGAGGCCCTCGGGCTGGATTGCTGACCACTGAAGTCATCATATACAGTATATACAAAACAATGTATGTACAAAATAGAAAAATCTGGGGGAGAGAGGAAGAGGCAGAGTTGAATGACATAGAATTGTGAGTTAGTCGCTATGTGAAATATAATACTGAATAAATGTCGAATACAAGTACAATAAACGAACTAAGAGCCGACTGAGACTTACTGTTGTTAAGTATACCATGTAAGTCTATAACCCCATCTGTCGCCCCCCCACCACCCGGGTTAAATTTAGCAAGCCAAGAGGGGACTATCCGGGTGTCAACTTACAACCCTCCCTCAGTCTACCACACAAAAACACAACGAGTATGCCCCACCATATGTTAAGGGTATTAAGAATAATAACCTTCACCTAATAAATACGTTTAGATAGCGACAGCGATTCGGAATTCGACTAAAAGTATAAAGTAATCTAACACAAAATATATTGGGCTTAACGCCATGCTGAGCTGTGTCTAAGGAAATTGCAAGCATACACACGTTCCGTCGGTTAGATTGCACCACATAAAGTGACTCATTTTAGCAAGTAATATTAACGTTAACAAGTTACAACATGTCAGCCTGTTAACACAACAAATTATGTCGACAGGCTCGGATCATACGGAATCGTAAACGCATTAAGGTGAACGTTACAAGAAGCTCGAAGGAAATATGAGCCACACTGCTAACTTTCACATCAGCGTTAGCTCTGTCAACTAACGTTAGCACGGGCTAGCTTTAGCCTGCCTCGTCTTTGTTCCGTGTGCGATACACACACGGTTCATAACGTTAAAATATAATATTACAAATACTGCCAAGGTATCAGTGTTTTTTATATAGTAAGTTAACCTGTGCGTTATTGTGATTGGGTTCGTGAAGCCACCTCGACTCACGTAAAGATAATAAACAAAGTGCGACGATGTACCCTATTGTGTTAACCAAGAGAGAAGCTAACGTTAGTCGCTCAAAGCTACATGTAGCTAAAGTTAGCAGCAGCAAACATAACCGAAACTAAACGAACACACGAGATGTTATCAACATTTATCTACACTGATATTGTAATACTGTTTGTGTGTGGGGGGACGTATCGAAGAAACGTGTGTCCCCTTCATGTTTAACTCCAGCGGCTATCAGCAGTTACGTTAACGAACTGACCCGGCATGTGAACGGCCCGTCCGCATACAATGAGCATTACGGATACGACGCTAGCTTGTTAGCTAGTAAGTTAGCTAGTTAGGTAACCACCGAAAAGGACAAACTGTTTCTCTGAATCGACCGATCGTTTTTCTATAAACTACTGTACAAGTTGTACGATAGGCTGACTGTGTCGTTCAAACGGCTTTCAATTCGAAAACAATAAAACAACAAATGTCTATTCTTCATTTTACCTGCTAACACGCTTCGCTCAGCCAGCAGCAGCAGATGCTGTCACGTGACCCAACGCGCCGTTGTTCAACGAGGAGAAGCCGACACTGCCAACCATAACCCTACAAGATGATCACGTGGTTCAACAACGTGCCCTTGCGTGCGCGTTCCTGTGTGGGAGCGCGCGCTGCTGTAATACTTCCAGGGTTGAGTCCAGCCTATGTTTGAGTCTGAGGACAAGTGAAAACCATGGTGAAATTAAACCTTATACTGTACAAATAGTTTATTACAAATAAAATATGCTGATATTTTTCCCATATTTAGCTAATTAGGCACACATGTAATTTCTGATACGATATCAAATACACATATGTTTTATTTATTTTTTGTTCAAGAGGGAGTTTTTTCTTCTTCAGCCAAACCGTTTTTGTAAGTTTCTTTACTGAGCATCATCTAAATCCACTGTCTTATTTTGGCATTTTCTATTCAAATGATATTCACCCTATATACTACGCAAGATACATATTTCACAAGACAGAACAGTTCATTAGACAAACTTCACTTAATCTTAAAGTCTTATAAGAACTGTATTCAACAAGTAGCAACAAATTCCAATTGTAATTGCAACAAAAAAAAAGTTCAGAGCATCATCATTACAGAGTCAAAGTTTAAGTAATAGCTAAAGGGAAGACCAGGTTCGGCGGGTATTTGTGCAGAAAAACAGAAATGATAATTCAAAGAACTCAGGCAATATGTCTTATAGTATACAGTATAACATACAGTATTTATCTGAATAAGCATTTAACAGTACTGAGAATGTACAAAATAAACCACACACCAAACAACCACACTCCTGCACCAAAGACAAAAACAAAACCCACACAAACATACACACACATACACACATACATACACAGACCACATCAATTTGCAGAATGCACAAACTTAGTGCTGTCAGGGGAAATTTCACTCATCAACAGCCCACCTTAGCAAACCTGCCATTTCTTAAAGATATTGACTTAAAAATTCAAATATTCCTTTTTATATGTCTATTAATTTAATGTAATTCAATGAATTGGATCATGATTATTCTTTTTCTTGGTGGTGTGGTTGATTACACTGACTGGGTTTAAGGTATTGCTGTAGGTGAGATTTCATGATGTGGACACACTGAGCTTTTCTCTCCATGATCTCCTTCAGTTTGTGGAAATAATCCCCAAATGCCTGTAAAGAGAGAGACAGAGAGTAAGGACAGACACACGTTCATTTAAAATGTATTCAGATCTAAATAACTTTATTGTTTATTAGACTTGCATCAAATAAAAAAATGCCTTTGGCAGTGGCATATAAGACAAAACACAGCAATTCTTCATTTGTAAATCTGTGACAGTAATAGAAGCGATGAGTGAATTGATCTTTCTGCAAGTCCATCAAAACATTATATAACGATGCTTGATACTCAGCAGTATTTACCTATATATAAATACATAAATGTGGGATGTTGTTGGTTGCAGAATGATCTAAAAAGCAGCCTTAGTGCTTGGGATAGAGGTTAAATGAGCAAGTTCAAATGTAATAGCAGATGTAATATATCTATTCTGACCATATCAGGTTGACGACACAGAAGCATCCCCTCTTTACGACATAAAGCTTCCATCTCTTCTAGCTGCTCCCAGTGGGCCTGGACAACACGCCACCTTAAATTGGATTGGAAAAAAATACATACTAATTTTATTTCATCTAATATTGTAGGTTGTGATTGCTCCGTTACTCTGAAATAAACAGCAGGTTTTCTAAATTGACCACCAAAAAGGTTTGTATCATGTCTGGAGGATCCACTTAAATGTAAATTAAATCAAATGTTAAAACAAAGCAACTTGTAACAAGAGTAAAATATTAACCTAACACAACGGGGAATTATACAATCCAGTCTGTCTCATTATAATGGGCACTGGCCTCTGAAACACTCATTAACAACATTAAAATGATTGTGTAAAAACTGTGACATGTCTGGGTACTTACTGGCCGTGATCCAAGTCTTCCAGCCTAGAAAGGCAGATGGGTCTAATTTGCTGATTGCTGATGCTCTCTTGATTATTTAATTGTAAAATACTGTTGGTTTGGATTGAGGTGTTTGAATGTGCAGTTTGACAATGCTTTGGCGCTGTGGTCAACAACTGACTTTCTGACTGTGGTGTTGAAATGGCCAAAGACAGTTCTTTGTGCATATTGTGTGCATGTTCTGATGGCTTCTGGTTGGGACCATTGGTCGTTAGATCGTGTGTGCTCAGTAAACCTGTGTTTGCAGACTGGTTGACAGAGGAAGAGTTGGACTGCATGACAGAAGTTTGCATTGAAGAACATGTAGAGGTTTTGGGTGGGGATGCAGCGGTTCTGTTCTGATCCCATTGAAGGAAAGAAAGGTTGTCAGCCTGTTGGTCCACTTGAAGCAAGGAGATGCTGAGGGGGTCCATGACGAAGTTGATTGAACCTTCAGTCTCTTCTTGAGGTAATTCAGACTTTTTGGCGTCAGCATCTGGACCGTTGTGTACCATAGTGGAGGCTGGATTTTCAGATGAAATATTGAGAGGCTCTGCTGGTATTTTACCTCTATTCTGTGTTGTGGGAGTAGTGAGAGGTAGTGTGGCCCATTGAGAATTAAAAAAATCAGGTATATTGTCGTGGGCATTGAACCATGGTGGCTTCACTCTACAGCTGCTTAATGGTACATCCTGATGAGCATTTTTCAATGGTATTGACTCGATGTTTGAGGTGCATGTAGTGTGTTTTAACTCAAAGGAGGGATTAGGGGTCAGGAGAGTGTTTGGTTGTCCACAGGCTGGGGAGAGAGGTCGTTCTGCTGTAGCTCGCTGACGGGATGACTCATCCAGAGGGCGGTTAAAGAGGCTGCTACTGTCAATGTTTCTTTGGGAGGACAGAAAACCGTAACTGTCGGCTCCTCTTCGCTCCTCAGTACTACACACTCTATCAGCTGTGACATCTGAAGCATTAAGACCTTCTTCATCCTCTTCTGAGAGACGGTTGTACAACACTACTGCCTCATCGGGGATTGCACCTGTCATCCTGTCTGCCTGCTCTGTCTCTGTTGATGCTACCCAGGCCCACCTCCCCACTCCTTTTCCTTCCATTGCTGGTCTCCACTCCTCCCTCCTTACTCTGACCTCACCTTCCCCTGCTGCCTTCAGTGACCTTAACTTCTCATGTGTATCTCTGTCTTGCCCAAATCTTTCCTCTTTCCCATCCCTGGATACCCTCCAAGCATCACCAGATCCACCTGAGTCACCAGGACTAACCACAGCCTTGTTTGTATTGCAGCTAGGGGAGGTTTTAGTTTGAAAGCAAATCTCTTGACTGGGGAAGAAAGATGACTGTCCTCTGTTACTATCTACCCTGACCTTAACATTAGCCCCGTATGCATCAAAAACTCCTTCCAAACCATGACACATAAGGGCAGAAACTGAGAGGCTGGAAGATTGTTGAAAGGTAGAAGGAGAGACAGAAGAAGAGAGAGAGGCCTGATTTGAGGAAGAAATAGACGGGGATGTAGAGGATGAGAAGAGGACAGATGAAGATGAGGGCATGAACTGCTGTAACTGCTGGTGATACTGTCTCAGATGGCGCTCTCTGTCCTTTTCCCTTTCATCAGCCTTTTTCAAATATTTTTCCCTTAGCCTCTCTGCTTCATCACATGTGTCTCTACTGATTCCCACTTTTCTTCTTTGTTCTGTCCCTCTATTCTCATCTTTTCCTGCCCCTTTTGAACTTCCCTGTCTCTCTTTTCCTCTGTAGCATAATCCAGATTCTCTCGACACCTCCCACAAGTGAAGCTCATCTGTCGCTTGTCTCAAGACCAGTTCTGCCCCTATGTTTTGGTCACCAACTGTGTTGTCTACACTGTCAGATACTCCATACCTTTCTCTTTTTCTACCTTCCCTCCTGTCTGCTCTGTCCGTCCTGACCCTCCTACCACTCATTCCCAGCAAACCTCCAACAGGTGTTATATGTTCAAAGTCAATTCCCTTTCTTGTTGTTGCAGTTGTTTCCTCTCCCCATCTGCTGTTTTTGGGTGTAGAGCAAAGATTTTCGCCTCCCATGGTCAATCTAATGGTAGGCGAGATGGGGCAAAAATCCTCCCTATGTCTCCCTAACTTTGGCTTTTTGGGAGGACTTTTCCCTCGGGTGCCAATTATGCTGCTTGTGCTTTTGCTGCTGCTGCTGCTGTTTGACAAGTTACGCTTGGGGGAGTGATTTGTCCTTCCTCTTCTTCCTCCTCGTAGTCCCCCCTGTCCCTTTAACTCCTTCACCCTATGAAAAAAATATAAGATGTAATATCTCAAATAGCAGTCACTGATTATTGCCTTAACAGTCCATAACAAAACGTTATAATAAGACTTGATACGTTGTCAACACTGGGAGTAAGATGAAAATAAACTTTGTTCTTAAACATCACATTTATATTTTACATTTTCCAAAGTCATTTAATCAGGATTTAAAGTAGGATGAATAAAATCCACTAGGGCTCTGAGAAAAAAAAAAAAAAAAAACGTTCCAGCAACTATATTGAAACACACACACTTACCGGTCAGCATATCTCAGTGTATTTAGTGTGTTTTCAGTTGCTAAGTGACCAGGTGAAATGTTGGCAATCATGCACGTCATTGAGTCACCAACAAATGAGTCTTTCAAAACCTAGAAAAGGAACAATGTGTTGCAAAACACAGGAGAGGTTATTGATCAAGCTGGACAAAAAAATCAGCCATGATAATTATACACACACAACAGAATATTGCAGTACCTGAGTCAGTTTGCTTTGTCTGAAAGGTGTGTGAGACTGCTCCTGATCCAGGGACCGAATGCATTCTTTAAGCTGAGAAAAGAAAAGAAAGACAAACAAATGAAAAAATATGTAAAATCCCAGCATGTGTGTGTGTCTGTGTGTGTCCGTGTGTCTTACAGCCAACAGACTCTGGTTGATCTCTGCTCCCTCCATGCGACTCTGCCTGTCTTCTTTGGTGTCTGATGCCCGCTCACTTCCTGCCAGGTCCACAAACCACATTCTGAAAGCACACAAACAAGGGAGCACAAGACAATACAATCAGATAGTGTGTACAGTATAATAAGCCTACAATATGATACAAACACATGTTGTCACTCACCTTCCAGCTATCTGCTGGTTTGCATCCCTTAGCTGAATCTGAAGCAAGGCATGGGAGCGAGAGGAGAGTGGATTCACCCCACTCACCCCCTGTGTGCGCACCTCTGTTCCCTGTGAAATCACCTTAGAAAGGAGGACAAATAATTAAAAAGAGAGACAAAGAAAACATGATGATAGATAGGTAATGTTCAAGTAAGCGTGACCTAAGATTGGAATGTTCCTCACAATATATTGTTATACTTTTCTATTGATGTTTATTTTTAATGGTAGGTCTCTGATTTGGGAATTACTCATTGCATAAATGTGTTCAAAAAGTTTGAGTGGTAACCAGAAGACTAGCTCTTGTCTACACAGCATGGACAGCAGAAAAAAAAGGGCGAACCTCCATCAGTGAGCTGACTGAGTCCACTCTGACGTCACGCAGCCCAACAATGTGAACCACCTTAAGTCCATCTTCTCTGGCAAACAATCTAATAAAGAAAAAAAAAACGAGATTAAGAGGGAGAATAACTCAAGAAAGAAGAAAAAGTCAAGCTTAAAGAGATTCATTTTGATGGTGGATTACCAACAAAATAATCATGCCTATGGAACAAATGGGGTATTATTCATCTGTTTTTTATACCAATTGCTACTTTTTTGATAGCAACTCCACCTATAAAACATTTAACCAATTGTATACACAACAAGACACATACCCACGCTTACTGATACAAACACGCACCTCTTTCTGTGGTCCAACAAGTCATACAGCTGACCACAGTAGATTTCAAAGAAACTGACATACACCAGCAAGGGTGAGTTCATGTGTGTGGTGGAGAGGTGAGCAAAAATGTCCCGGACTGCCAGAGCATACAACCCTGGTCTCACAGGGGAACCGAGCATGGTGTGAGTCTTCCCTGCACCTGTCTGGCCATATGCAAAGCAGGTGCCCTTGCCTCTATGGACACACAAACACAAACAAAAATAAAGATAGTTAGGGAGCACAGGTTGGTAGAAACATAAAGCCAAACCCATGTACAAGCATGTACTTCATTAGAAAGGCAGGTAAGGCTGACAACACACACACAACTACATAAATGCCACTACATTATTGCTAACCTACCCATTGAGCATGTGCTGCACCAGAGGGTATGCTGTTCTTTGATACACCTCCTCATTGGAACTCTCCTCCCCAAACACCTGGTCAAAGTAGAACCTGTGCTGCAGGGACCAAAGAACAAGGGGGAAGAACAGCAAAATGATTTGAGCAGTAGATTTTAAAATGAAAATCCACCCTGCTTTATTTCACATCATCACAGTTTAATGATAAAGTGTTTATTTGAAGAAAATGCTGTCTTCTTCCTACATGATGTTTCAGACATTGCCTCATATCTTGACTTTATATCTACCTTTAGTATGTACTGTGTGAGATCCACAGCCTCTTTGCTTTCATGAACAATAACACACTCTTCACTTGGAGTTGTCAAAACATCTGTCTCTCCTCTCCTGCACTCTGTGCGTGTCAGAGGTCTTTTCCTCACACACACACTGATCCGCTGCGCCCCTGGTCGTCTGCAACACACACCAATCACAGAAAAACCAAATCATGATTATCATGTGCAAAGAAAATCCTGATTATCATTGCCTAGATGTAAATGTTGTAGCCATTTAGACACTTGATATTACTATCTAAATGTATTTCATATTCAATAAATGTATCTAGTACTGTTACTGCACTAAGATACTTAATTGTGAATATGGACTAAATACGAAAACAACAAAAACCACTGCCACTCACGTTTTGTTTGGAGCAGGAGGGGAACTCAGTGGTAGTCCATAGTTGTAGCCAGCTGTTCTCATTAGTTCATAAACAGGTGTTGGCTTAGGCGTGTGTTCAGAAGCTGCATTACTGCTCATTTCTGTAAAGGGTTTCTTCTTCCTTAAAAGTCCCTTTCTATCTTTGTGCCCAAATAGTTGGTTGGTTAACAACTTTGATGCCACTGTTTCAGACTGGGGTTTTGGTTTGATGCATGATTCGCACTTTGGTGATAATCTGGTGTGAAAATTGAACATGGATTTTCCTTCCATAATCTTTGGCTCAGTTTTTGCTCCTGTGTGACGACCAGATTGATGCCTATGAGAATCCAGCCTGTGTTTGTTCTTCTCTTTGCAGCCACATACCGCAGCACTTCCAGAGTCAAGCTGCACTGATAGGGCCGACCCTTTGCCCTGCCCTGCCTCACTATTCATTACATATACAGAGGCATCAGGATAAACAAAAAGATTCAGATTGTGATCGATGGTTTCACAATTAAAATCAAGCCGTCTGCGAACGGATGAGGGTTTTGTAAAACGTGTTGCATTAAGCTTACTTTCAGCAGCACCCCTCTCATTCTCATCATTGTAAACATCCTCTTCATCTTCACCACCAACATAAGAAAAGCTACTATCTGCTGCAGTGTAGCCTTCATCACCACTGTCAGCACCATAATCTTCACTATTTTCATATTTTAGGTCAAGAGCTTTGACCATTTGGACAAGATGGAAGAGTCGAGTCCTGTCCTCCATACAGCAGATCCCAAGGATTGGATAGTCCTCCATGGTCAGCGCTGAGAGGTGGGCTGCACGACAAATACCCACAGAAGTAAACCTGAAGGAGAGGAAACAGAGGGAGACATATGGTTAGATGAGGAGGGGGGCAGGGCAAGTGTTAGTTTGGAAGTGATGTGAGTGAGCTTACCTAGCATAGTGACGCTGAAGCCCAACGGCCCTCAGACACTCATACAGGGAAAGTGACATTTCCTCCCCTTTCTTTTCTTTCTCGTTTTCTTCCCTCCATTCACCCTTGGGGCGGTAGACATATCGCTTTAGTTTCTCCATCAGTTGGCCACACAAGGCAAAGGCAAGAAAGAAAGGACTGTGCAGCTAGACAACAGGCTGAATATAAATTTAAAAAATCAAAACAACTACACACTCACACACACACACTCACACAAGCTCCACACTGCTATTTTCCAACACAGTAAACCCTTGCTGTTTCTCTCCCTCAGTGATTCCTGTCAGAGACCGATTGCCAATGGTCTGGCTGGTCACTTTGTCATACTACCACACTGCACAGTTGTGGTGTCAAGCGAAGCACACAACACTGGTATGATGCTGAAATGTGACACTTGGTCAGCAATGAACCAGGGCAGACACATGTCTGTACCGTAGCAAATATGATAAATATAGCAGACATAAGAATGCAACTGTTGCTTCTTTGACTTCTACAGTAGATTGGCTGGCAGCTGCAATATTACTGCCATATGACTCAAATGCATTAAGGTGAGAGTGCTGTTCATTACTGTGTTTATGAAACAGTACACCTCTTCGAATCATCCCCCTCCTAGAGCTCCATATTTCCATAAGGTGGGGTCACAGTCCCTACATTGAACACGTGGTGGAATTTGAGAGTCAGCAACTGGTAATTCTGCAAATTAGATAGACAACCAGCAGAGCAGTTTACATTACAGGGCTGGTTTAGCCATATAACACAAAGTAAAGTGGAAGAGGATTGTTAACTCCTATCTATCAAACAAACCCTCAATTTAAAAAAAAGGTAAGTTCCAGTTTAAAGTCATTGTCACATTATAATACACATCAAACATTGGGCAATACATTATTATCATTGGGTGCTTGTGCTTCCCAAATAATTGAATGACTGAGTGAAAAGCTGTAAACTACTGTAACATAAAATGGCAAAAGTAAATAGAACACTTACCTGAAAAGGCAAATGAGTGAGCATGACGTTTTATCGGATGGAACATTCTGAACTGACAAAATGCATTAATGTTTAAAAAGTTGCTTGCTTGAGGAGTAGGCTATCACTATTTCCGTACACAGAGTAGGTCTCCATAGCGACGAAAACGGTTTTGGGAGGGGGATTTTAGTTCCCGTTGTCCGTGAACACAACTCCTGAGGTGGCAGGTGGCAGAAATAAGGATACCATATCATATCTTATTTAAGTGCAGAATTCAGAAGGACAGCCGGTCAAATTACGCTCAGTTCAGCATGAAAGAGAGATAATCCCTCGGAGGGCTTAATGCCCACCAACAAACCTGCTAGGACAAAAGCCTTCTTAGACTAAACTATTAGGACATGTGCCCTAATGACTGTAGACCTACGACGTATTGTCTTGAGGGCTGAACAATGGATGTAAATGTGTTGTTATGGTTTATTATTAATAATAAAACACATTGATTAATATTGTTGTTACTCGAGGTTTTTTTGGTGCACATTTTAATATATTATTTTATAAGCTGACCAACTATTATTTGCCATCAAAAATACAAAAAAGTAACAAAACAAATTGTTAAATGCATAGATTGATTAATAAACACAAAAAAGACAAGTAGGCTATACATTTATATCTAATACTAACAGAGATGTTTATTCGTTTTTCTTATTATTATAATTGTATTTATATACACTCAGGTCCTCATAAGTCTCTGCAACTATCGTTTATACATGATATTAGAAGGCTATGTTATATAAGTTTTGTACACATCCATGCAGGGAACGCATGAGTGCATACTTGTGTTTTATGCTTTGTTAAACCCAGAGCCGTATCATATAATCTATCTATACGGCGCTGGTTAAACCATGGACGTGAAGGAAGTTGAGGAATCAACGTCATCAACCCGTGTTTCACTGGGGACAACATTGGAAGTAACACACAACATAGGCACTTCCTCAACCCGCCTCTGCTCAAATCAAATGTATCAGACTGGACCCGTAGATAACTTTAAACGCTAAATTAACAGAGCCTGTTTAATACATATTTAGCAACATGAGAATATTCGTCTGTGCAATTTTAGTGAGGTTAAGTTTCTCATTTCCGGCCCAGTACTTGAAGACAATTTAACCAGAAACTAGTTGCCAGGTTACCAGACCCATTCAGAAAGATGACGACCAAAGCCGCTTACTAGAGACCTGGGAAGTGTCAGAGATGTGAACCCTCAACCTATGGGTAGGTAGATTTAATGTTTTTTAAAAGTTTTTTTCTGCAGAAATCCATGCCAAATAATGTTAACACCTTGAAAAAGTAAAAGAACAATTGAACATTTTTGACTCGGGAGGAATAGACATATTGCATGTTACAGGAATAGTTCAGCAGACCATTACATGTTCCCAAAATAGGCTAATCTTAACTTGTCTAAAATTCCCTGTGCAAAGAAAAACATCTTCAAAAAATATATTGTCCCTTCAAACATATCATATATCAAATATCTGTCTAACTAACTATATTCTTATTTTTATCAGGAAAACTGATGTAAGAAGTGATCAAGAAATGTCTTCTGAGGAGGAGACTTCTCAGACATCCACTCCTTCTTCCTGTCCCCCTCCATCCTCCTCACCTGCCCCTGCATCCCATCTCATCGGCCGGAAGGAGGACATTGTCAAGGCAGGGCGCCTGATCAAGACTGTGAATGGATGCAGGGAAATACTGGTCCTGTACCACCAAGGGACGCTTCATGCAATGGACCTGCGCTGCTATCGTAAGCTCTGTCTGTGTTTTTGTTGATGTTATGCATAAAGCAAACACTGAAATCTCCCATACTACTGAGGGCTGAAAAATGTATGGACATTTTATGCATAAAGCTATAATTGTAAGATCCTGTCATAATCTTTAGGTATTTCCTGTTGAAACATTTAGAAAGATGTTGACATTCATTATTTTAGTGTGTATTTTAAGTGTTATAAAATGAATGCAATGGCTCATCACATTTGTGAAACACTACTGATGATGTTCCACTTACAGATGCAGGTGGTCCATTACAGCATGGAGACATCGAGGTAAGTTTACATTTTCTCTAAAAAACATTGCCTTTTTTTTCAAAACTTTCAAAAACCGCTAATAGTGTCTTTCTTATGTCTCTTATCACCTTCATGCTGTGCCAACATCAGGAGTTTAATGGGCGGCTATGTATTGTGTGTCCGTGGCACAAGTACAAGATCACACTAGCAGAAGGGGAAGGGCTTTACCAAGCCGTGGATGACCCTACAGTCAAACCCCTGAGGACACACTGGCGTTCCAAGGGTGTCAAACAGAGGATTCACAAGGTCACTGAGGTCAAAGGGAGTGTATATGTAACACTGAACGACTGCAGCGAGGCCATCGAGTCAGATGTCTACCAGACTGAGAGATACAGGACTGGCTCAATTCAGGCCCGGACAAAACCAAAGCCCTAAAAATAACCAGGGACTCAGGGAGTTATTTGGAAATAACTCTAGTTTACTCTATCACTGGATCTTTGCAATTTGATTACCCAACAGTGCAGAGTGTACAAAGAAATCAACAAAGAGGATGTACTGTATGTTTTCAGGATCCTAATTCACAGCTCAATGTCCTTTTAATGAGACATAAAGTAGACCTTCAAATGTTTTTTTTATTGAATGTCTCCCTGGGTTAATATGTTGAAATATCACACATATACTGTATCTTAAAGCTTTCTGATATTATACTCTAGGTCTAGGAAACCCTTACCCCCCAAATCTGCTATCTAAACAATTGCCTTGACTTTAGAATTGAACTTCACATTGGCTAAATGGGTTTACAGTATACTAAACTGCATTTGAAACATGGTCCCTTTGTATTTTTGCATTTTGTTCTGCAAGGATAGCCCTTACCAACACTTCCAATGTTTACATCAGAACATAGGACCCTTGGAACATAGGGATGACCATCAACCAACTACAACAGTACAATACTACTTCCACCAATTGTATTAAAAACAGTACAATTATGTAATAAAAAAACGTGTTCTCTGCTTAACACCTAATTTACTTTCGATACTTACAGAAGCCAACATATACTTGCCAACTATTTTTAATTTAGTTTTTTTTCCATTGTTATATCATTACATAAATTATCAGTACACTTTTAGTAGTGTGCTTGTGCGCGCGTGTGTGTGTACTGTATGTGTGTGTGTAGGAGGCATTACGTAAACTAACGCTAGGTGTCAGCAATGCACCGTGTGGTACCAATATGAACAGTAGAAGAAGAACATGGTCGGCTAATGTGGCTAAAACGGTGGGTAACATCAACAGTGAATGAAAAGGGCTGTACTTTACAAATGTTAGGGTTTTTATATCATAGTAGGGATATCCAGACTTTTTTTTAAAAACGCTGAATATGTGTTTTGTATTTTCAGAGCAAAAATGGAATTTAACAAGAGATAAAGCACCAGGAGAACAACAATAATCACTTCTTGTTTCTCTTGACTGAAAGATAAATCCCAACATGGCATCAGGTAGGTGGTCCAGATGATTATCTCATACAGTTACCTTTTCCTGTAGGCTACACACAGGTTCATCTTGAATTTCCCAACATTTCTTTATAAGATGATATTAATCTGCTGGTCATCGTCGTGGATGTAAATCCGATATGGTGGGGGCAGCAAGCTCAAGCCGAGACAGAGGTAGTATAGTCAGATATTTCTCTGACCTTTTTATAAATGGTTTTCAGTTTGTAGTTATTACATGTCTAAAGAACACGTACTGTCCTCATGTCTCCGTGTAGCTCACCCTGTCCAAGTGTCTGGATGCAGTGATGGTGCTGGGGAACTCCCACATGGCCATGTCCAGGACCAACAAGCTGGCTGTCATCGCCAGCCACTGTCAGGACAGGTAGCTTTATTATGATCTTCTTTTCTTTTATTCGTTTCATTCAGCTGAAGGTTTTATCCAAATACACTTACAATAAGTCCAATCATTCACAAGGATAACAATTCAGAACCACAATAATCCTGAAAGTAAATTAGTTTCTGGTAACCCAAACCCTTTCAGGTCTAAGTAATTATAGAGCAGCTAACAGTGGTGAAAATCAATATATAATTATTAAAAGTGCATTTACTGAAGGGGGTGGGGTTGGATGTGTTGTATTATTATATGTTACTCTACTACCTATTATTTGGGAGCTGTAGTTGCAAGTGACTTTTCAGTTTAAGAATTGAAATTGTTTACATTAAAAAAACGTTTGTTCATTTTTATCTCATGGCCCTTAGGAATATAGACTATTGTCGTAAATGTTCTCATTTTCAGACAACAAAATAAACATTGAAGACATAAATAAACCTGTGCCTCATTTATCCAACTTCCCTTTATTTCAGTCACTTCCTATATCCCGGTAAGAGCTGGGGAGCGGGCGACAGCTGTGAGGAGGATGCTTCCTCCAGTGGGGATGGAAAATATGAACTCTTGTCAGTCGCTAATAACTTTATTGCTGAAGAAATCAGGAAGGTTATTGCAAAAAGTAAGTACACATCTGTTGTTGTAGGGTATCTTGACCTTTCAATATATATATATATATATTTATACACACACACACACACACACACACACACACACACACACAGTAGCTTTCTCATACTAATATCAAAAAGTTTGGTTGTTGAATTTACGATAATGCGTTGTATATGTGTTGTATATGTGTTGTATTTGTAGCTTTGATTTGTTTGTTAGCTCAAGTGTTTAATGACACTGTGCATTGTTAAAGTATACAATGTGTCTTATGTGATTACAGCGGATGTGATGGGAAATTCCACAGACACTCTGTTGGCTGGGTCACTGGCCAAAGCTCTGTGCTGTATCCTTTCAATAATAATTTGATGTTTTTACAAAATCACAGATTTACAGGATTCATCTAAGAACAGGTAAATTGACTAGTATTAGAATACATTTACTTTAATGAATGACTCTGCTGAATTGTATATGTTGGAAGATAACATTTGTGTTTTTATATGCTATTACTTCCCCTTGCTTAGATGATGGATTCTTGGTTGAAAGTAATATCTGCTTTTCTCATTTTCTTTCTGTACACAGCAAGTGTTGTGGTTGAGAGAGAGGCAAAACATTTGTTTCTAGTTTTCCTTAATCCTTTAACTTTAGATATTAACAGAGTCGCAAAAGATCATGAAGGTAATTAAATGTTTATTTTATTATTAATCTTAATTTATACTCTTTAACGGGTTCTGTTTTCCTTGTCATACTTAATAATACCGTCTTTTCTTTTTAAGTTGGACAAGAAACAAAATCAAGAATATTGGTAAGCCATAAAAAGTTGAATTTGGCTTGAGAGTGCTTTGGTTTTAGTCCGTGCCTTTGAAATCAATCTCTGTATTTGACTGAATAGGTGATAAAAGCAGCCGAGGACTGTGCCCTACAGTACATGAACTTCATGAATGTCATTTTTGCTTCCCAAAAGCAGGTACAATCATTGATCTCAATTTTGTTTTGTATTATTGTACTTGTTTTAACATTTACATATGTTTATAATACATTTGTTTTGTATTTTAAAACAGAACATCCTGATAGATGCCTGTGTGTTGGACTCAGACTCGGGTCTCCTTCAGCAGGTACAATGTTATGGCTTTGTTAGGATGTTGACAATAATCTAATTCTATACTTTTATTATGATGGACATTTCCATCCAAAGGCTTAACCTGAGAATACGAAACACAACTATGCAATAATATTGGATAACTTGAAGAATAATTAAAGGAAGATCAACATCCATTAATTGTCTCTCAAACCAATATAATTTTTATTATTCTTTAAAGTGTTTTTTTAGTTTATTAAAATCATCAGGATTGTTTTAGACTTGTGTGATCCAAACATTTGCAATAACTCCAGTGGGTTGAAATCCCAAATAAATTGAAAAAATATAAATGTAATCATTTACCAAATACATTTTCTTGCCAAATATACTGCTTCCATCCATACTTAAAAAAACAAAACAGTTTTCAAGGTAAACAAAAAACAATTTGCTCTCCTGCTTGCCATACAAAGAGTGAGTCATGCATGGAAAATGGATATTATGTATGTATTATTAGAGGAAGTTTGTTGGCGATTCAAATGTAATGAAATTCAAAAAGCTTTAAATAAAAACACATTGTTATAGCGTGCCACAGTGACGCGTCCTAAAACCCGGAAGTAAACTCCTTCTGGTTCCTTCGACAAAAACCAATGCAATTTCTCCATAGGATTTTGGAAAATAGCTGGAAATAAGGTCTGTGGTTGACACACATTTAAGAGACATATCACGTTTTGTTCAGCCGGATAATATCCACATGTCTACCCTACTTTTATAATTTTCTAATCATAAATCTATCGATAAGATTTAGGATTCGAAAATGATAAAGAAAGGGATAAAATGCTAACTTACTTCCGGGTTTTAGGACGCGTCACTGTGGCACTCTATTGGCCAAGTGTACATGTTTTTTTGAATGGTCATACTTCAACTGTATTTTGCTGTCCTAACCTGTGTGTTTATACTCAGTTTTTTTGCTTTTATATGTTTGTCCTTTGTAGGCTTGCGATATAACTGGAGGATTGTACCTCAAGATACCACAAAAAGTTGCTTTGGCACAATACCTTTTGGTGAGAGTGCAACACAGATGTACACAATGTATATCAGACTATCATTCATCTCATGTTTTTGTTATGAGCTTTGCTTTGTGTTTATGGTGGTGTTTTCTGAACAGTGGGTGTTCCTGCCTGACAGTGAGCAGCGGGCCCAGCTGGTTCTTCCTCCACCTGTGCACGTGGACTACAGAGCCGCATGCTTCTGCCACAGGAACCTCATTGACATTGGCTATGTGTGCTCAGTATGTCTATCAAGTAAGCTTGAATACTAGTTAAAAAAAAAAATCATGACCTCAATCTTTAAATAGTTGTCAAAAGCTGCAGTTATTTGTTGTGGTGACGCATTCTCCTGTTTTCTCTTTATCTCTAAGTATTCTGCAACTTCAGCCCCATCTGCACAACCTGCGAGTGAGTTAACAAAAAATGATATAAAATATTCAATACAAAATCTCTTAAATTTGAACTAATGTTATTCACCTGAAATCATGCAGTTTGATTTAATCTCCTTTTGGTTCACATTTCTATAATTCCTTTTCTTTTCAGGACTGCCTTCAAAATCCAACTACCACAGATGGTCAAGCCCAAAAAGAAGAAACTCAAGCAACAAACATGATTTCTGCTAGAATAGAAATAATGTAGTGGATTTAGTTTTCATTTTTATATTAGGATTATACCATTTTGTTTGGTATAGATTTGTACGTGCTTCAGTGACATCCTTTAGCCATATGAACATGTTGAATGTACTTACATGTTCAGGCTCCATTTACATGTCAATGGATTCACTGCTTTTGGAAAAAATACCTTTCTGATTTTTTATGAACATTTTTATAAAATAAAAACATCCTATAATTGTCTCCCAGCTTGTTGCCTTTCTCATTACAGTTTTGGGATTTCAGATATTGCTCTGAATATTCTTTAATTCGTGGCTGAATCACTGTGTTGATGTAATAATATATGACTTAGATTAGATGACTACAATGGATTTGGTCGAGGTTCTCTAAATGGGTAAAGAAGCTGTGTTGAACTTTACTCAATAAGATCTTACTTGTGGAATAAACCTTTTGCTGATATTTTACCATCACACAAAAATCCCCGATTTGCTATTGCTCATGCATAATAGTCGATGGGGCATCTTTCCCCAAGAGCAGTATTTCATAGAAACACAATAACAGCATTGGACAGGAAAAAATTACAAGTCAACCAATGTTTATTTGGGAAACTCAGCATGTCCTCATAACAAAAGTACTGTTACACTCAATGTTCATAAATCCCCTTCGGAAGACTTCTATTGTATAAAGAAAATAGAACCACTTTTGATTTAAGATTTGGAGAAATGTAACAGGTGTAAATGTTTGGAGTAGTTTGTAGTATAAAGGATTCACAGAAGTGGAGGAGGAGGGTTCACAGAGTAAATTCTGTTCGTCATGGGGCTCATCGATGGATTGGGACGATGTTGCATCTGAAAAAGAACAAGGACCAGTGAACCATTTTATTACTGCCATTCGTGAACTAAGTTTTGTAAGTTTGATGTACTAAAGAATATCTTACCAATATCCCTGCCGTGTGGTCATGTAAAACATGCATTAATATATTTCATTATAATATTATTATAAATTAACATATCTGCTTGGGTCACTCAAAGCCTTCAACAGATGTGTTACATGGGCTTCACAGCTGTTTTTGTTTCTTGATATTAACTCCAATAAATATGTGCCAATTCATGTACATGACTGATTGTGTTGTAGCACTCACCCCAGCAGACCTCTGCCGGTCCATCGCTGTGGAGTCAGGCTCACCTGAGCTCTCTGGCCATCCCGGATGACTGCGACTCGTAATGGCTTCTGTAAAAGGACACAATATTACACTCCAGATATTAAGAGTGTTCAGCAAAATGTAACCTATGGTTGTGCAATGAGGAGAAAGGATATTCAGTGATTACCAGAAGACTTTCTTCTAATTTTAACTAAAGGACAGATAGGTCTGAGAAAACCTAATTGAATAAATCAAATAAAAATGTAGTTCAAATGGAATTTTAAAAAAAAATGCTTGGAAACAGCTTGGTTATTAAAATCGTTTTGGTGTTAACTCACACATCCATCTGTATCACAAAATAATAAAACTACCACAACACAATTAAAGGCACAATGAGTAGAATGTGACGGTTGTGGTTTTCCAACACAACACTCAAAGCTCTTGCCAGCATGTGAAAGACAATCCCAGAGTCTATTTGAAAGAGCTTTGTCAGCTTGATGTTTTGCTTTCCTATGTTTGTAAGTATTCAAGGCTTTGTCCTCCATCTCTATAGCTTCCTCTTAGATGTGTGCTCACGCCTGAACCTGGTTTCTATGTTTTTACAGACGTTGACACCCAGAAACTTCCCCAACACTGCAAAAGAAGAAATACAGGCAGAGGGCTGCGGGTCTCTGAAGGTATAGACAACGCCAGACACTATAGGAGATTATTGAAAGGATATGGGTCAAAACGTTGTTTTGAAAAGAAAAGGTACTCTTTGTGCAGTGTGACAATACAAACAGTTGCTGTAGCTTACCCCTTCACTGTGTTGTACCACAGAAGCAATATTCTGCAGGTTCTGAAAGTTCCCCGTGTTCACAGAACCAAACTCAGTGACTTCATCACCCACTCTCAGCCCCTTTGAAAAGAAAAAACGATTACTTTAATCACAGGATCAAAAGCAGATTGGTTTCTTCTTAATTTCAACTCGTGAAAGAATACTGATGGTTTATCTTTAACCAGATACCAAAGCACCATTCACATCACTCACAGCTTTACAGGCAGGAGAGCCCTGTGTGACAGCGTCCACCCGTGCAAAGGGAGCATGAAGCTGCTGCTCCATGGGCTCCTCCTGGCCTCCTGATGCGTCCCCGCCCTTCTTGGCTTTCTCTAGAGCATGCAGCTGGTGAAGGGCTTCTTCTATCTCCTTCATCACATCCTTGTGGTCATTCTGCAGGCCTGGAAAACAAGATCTAACCATTAACGAGAAACTAAACTGTTAATATAATAAGATTTGCAGTTTTTCCCAAAATCTTTAGCTTCTCAAATGTGAGAAATAATGCATTGATTACTTCTATTCTTAACACAATTTTCCAGATTATACATACATCATTTCACTAAGGTAACAATTTTAGTGCAGGACTTTTAGTTGTAACACAGTATTTTTACAGTTGGGTATCTAAGTACCTAAGTAAAACATCTAAATTGATGTTCCATCACTGGCTTTCACAGACTAAGTTACACAGGAGTAGACAACAACAACAACAACAACCACGCTGCTCACATGAAATACTGTGCCTTGCTGTCCTGATCTGGTATACATTAACATCTCCTCGGGGGAAGCCCTCCGGGTCCACCAAGGAACCTTCAACTCCGACACCTTGCTGTAAACATAAAAAATAAAGGAAGGCATGTTTAGATTATTCAGAGTTAATGTATGTAGCCTTGTGTTAGCTTTGCGTCGCTTTCTTAATATGTCTAACACACACTTACGTCTTCCAAAACATCATAATAAGCCTTTATCTGTTCTTCAATTTCATCTTTCTTTTTCATCAGGTTTTTAACGTCATCCATTGTTATTTCCACATTTCCAGCACTGTTTTCCCCTGTCATCTTCATGGTTGCACGTCGTACATCCCATCCGGGTTCTTCTATCTGGTAGCTTTAAGGCAGTGTTCGCGCTATACCGCCCCCAACTGGTCTATGTGAACATTACATTAAATACATAAATACGTTTGTTCTCCAAGGGCAGTGCAGGGGTTACAAAACAATTGATAAAGTTTAAAAAATATATATATAAAGGATGATTATCTGTCAAAAATATAGTTTGTGGAATGATACAGATAAGTAATTAAGAACGTGTTGTGCACCTTGCAAATCATTTTTTTTTTAAAATCTTTACATTTTTAAAAAGGTAAGTTGTCTATTGGAATATGCTATGTTAAAAGGGTAGGGATAATAGGCAGTAAATATTATTTTGCATTTAATGCCTTTTGTTATTATTTACATTTTGTTTGCAACATTTCTGATAAATTAGGGCTAAAATAATAAGGATCATTTTACTGGTATTTCTCTTTCTAACAGATCATTTACAAAAACAAATCTGATTTCTTATATTCATGTTTACTTTACTAACCCTCAGATATGCACAGTAATTATTAGCATTATTATACATCATGTTCAAAGTATATATTTAGCTCCTGAATAGCATAAAATACATGAAATTGATTATAGTCAAGTGATTATAAACATAGGATTATTATTCAAACCGTTGAAGAGAAGATACAGTATGTTACCATTAAGTGAACTACGTTTTTATTATTTATATCACCAACATAAAAAACAAAAGTCAAAAGAATACCTGTTAAACTTCCCACTTCAAAGCACCCCTCTCAAATAAATAACCAAACAGACACATTTACTCTTATAGTCATTATTTAAGAACTGGATTTAACCTGGTGTTTAAATACTTTACTTGTGTTTGAAGCAAAACCCTATAATAAAACTGTACTCTTAATGTCTTCATTTTTAAGAGTTGTCCGCCAAAAAAAATTCTCACAAAAAACATCATTTATATTTATATATATATATATATATAAGTAACCTTTAATATAATATTGGATACATAATTCCTCATAACATTTACACTATAATTACTTCAGAAATATTTTTAGAAGTTGTAAACAACGGAAACATATAGCACACTAATGCAGATGGCAAAATGTGTTGCTATTCTTCAAGGCAGCATGTTGAGAACAGATCCACAGCTCTGAAAAAATCATTGTATAACTAAATACACCTTCTGACTCGTAGTGGTCTACATCTGGCATCTTACATTAACTCTGTAGCTTTTTTATTTTCATTTCACAGCGGTTTACATAGAGGCACACTGGTATACACGTAAATAAAAAAGTGAATATTATATAAACACTCTTGAAGTATTAGCTGACAGCTCCAAGTATCATGTACCCTGAGTATTCATTCTGATCATACCTGTTAATACAAATTGGAATGCATTTTGAATGTCCTTCATCCTGAAACAGGATCAAAGTGCAATTTTTTTTTAATCAATGCCATTAAAAACCTCTGTGTGCCCCGTGATACCAAATGCAAAAGGTTTCCTTCAAAAAGTTTTCCTTCATGTTCAACTGGCTTCCAAATCCTGGCTTTCTGTAGTTGGAATGTGTGAAATATAAATCTGTTTGTTTCGTTAGTAATGCTGATTAAAAAGAGCTTAGTACCAGATTAGGTGTTTTTTTTAATACAACTAACAGTCTGTATCTTGTGGACCTGCATGTTGGTCCATAAGCTTCAGCACAGACTCGTCTTTATCGTCACCTTGCAGTAATGCATCATGAGATGAGGATGATAAAACCTGTGAGGACTCAGTCTTAGCGGTGACCTCCGTCTGTACCAGAGCAAACTGAGCTGTGGCCTCATCTAGTTGTGAATTAACAGCATGGACCCAACTCTGTAGCTGCACACTAAGAGAATCCATCCCTTGGTCGAGCTTCTCCTGTCTGCCTTGAAGCTCTTCTAACAGATGTTGTGTGTCACTGACAACCCGCTGCCTCTTTCCTTCAGAAGGAGCACGCTGACGCAGCATGTAGCCCTCAAACTCCTCCTGACTGAGGTTGAGAGCCGGTCCATCCAGCTTTTCGATGAAGGCCACTGCACAAGACTAAGACAGGGGACAAAAAGCAAAGATGTGAGCATAACTGACCTCGCTCCACAGCATCCTGTCGTGGTCACCAGATGAGTCACTTTGCAATAAACTTACCAAGTTAGTGAAATAGTATCCACTCTCTCCTGCCATCAGACTGTGAGGAAGACCAAAGCGAATCACATATTGCATGTTCGAGTGTAGGCGGGGTGGATTGGCCTTCAGCACCACATAAACCAAGCCTGACAGGAAGTCATCAGCATTAGCGGGCTCACTGTTCGAGGTGGAGAGCGCTTCAAAGACATGCTGACTGCATTTGGACACACATGCAAGTTTGTCCTGAGGCGCTCGTTTGGCATCCATTTCAATTATGGCTGTTCAAAAATAAGAGGGCAGAACGAAATATCAAAGGCTAGCATTTCAGACCTTCCAGTGATGCTAACAGTATATGGGAAACCTACTACTTTCTCCAATGAGCTTAAAAAAAGGGCTTTTCCCAACCACATTTACGGAATTATTGTTTGGAAATATACTTCCGCTCAAGAGGTACATGGAGATCAATACAAATACACTTAATCTAAGAAAAGGAACATAGTCAGTTCGTCCTGTTTCGCTCTTCCCTACCCTTCTCTCAGATCTGATGTGATTGCTATATTGATCTTCTCAGCTAACTATCCTCCAGAAAGATAATAAACATATTTCCCAAAGTTACGAAAGAGTCCTTGTGATCACCTGTTATAGCAGGCAGGAAGGGGTCGCCTGTGACTTCAATCTTTTTATCAGGGAAGGGTACGCTCAGCATCTGAGGAGTGATCCAGTTTAAAGAGCTGCAAAGTAAAGACATTATGGTCTAAACAGGGTTGTAGGTAAGAGGTTTTGATAAATCAACAGAGGTGATTGGTATATACGGGTTACCGTATCCTTCTCTGGAGAGCTAGGTCCTTCTGTTCATCATCACAGCTGTCATGGCAGAAAACCCATTTGTGCAACCGGGTCATTATTAGCTTCTCTACATGCTCCATTATGTGAGTTACCTGAGCCTCAGGAAAACCTGAAATTAAGATAAACATATACAGTTATATTATTAAAATGTAACAGTCATTCAAATGTTTTTTCATTTCAGAATAAACAGGACAAGAAATACTGAATTAATCTGACTCACTGTTAAAATATTCAGCAAAGGATTGGTAGAAATCCTGCACGAGATCTGACTGCTTCTGTACCGGCAGATCCTGTAAAGATGATGAGAAGCCACTTATCAGAACAGCTCTGGCCATTCAAAGAAAGGTTAAAATAAGTGTATAGTCAAACGTTTAAACAGCTACTTACATGATAAGCTTCCATTGTGTTGAGGAAGGCTGTACATCGGGACTGCAAGCGCTGAGAGGAAGGGCTCTTTAGTATCTTCAGGAAACCGGTGAAGTCCCCGGCCTCGAGGCTCTGGTAAGCTTTTAGCAAATTAGCATGGCTTTCAGAAGACTCTAGAGGGATAAGAGGTGTATGTTATTGTTAGATAAATAAATAAACACGTGTTTAAACTTAATATCATATTTGAAATGGCGTCAGATCTTTGAGAGACTTCCGGCCCAGTCACTGCTTTTGGGCAAATCAAATGACATTTAATTTAGCTGAAGCTTTTATCCAAAGCGATTTACAGTAATCAACCATGAAGAGACCAAAAACCGCCTGAATCTTTCAAGCACATTAGCTTTCAATGAGCAAAGCAATCTGTGCTACTTCATTGGATTAAAATACGTCACCCCCTTTAAGTGCTACAAACAGAAATTAAAACATTTTTTCAGAGAATATAAAAAAGTGAATCACCAAGCGAACAAGCGGACAAAATTCACCGCAGATACTTTCAGAATCCTTTGAGGTTGAAAACCTGCTACACCTGCTATCTGCTGTGAATATATGGTCTATGGCTCATGAAGCAGTAATGTTAAATGTGCTGGTTTATGGCGCTGATAAAAATCAAGTTTTTACTTTGACTGAATTTACTTTTAGGATAATAAGACATATATATGCAGCAGTGTGCAGTTGAAGCTACACATTGGTTGCACTTTTATATTCTACCTACTGTTTTGACTTGTTGGCAGAGAATGAATCAGAGGACACAAAGCAAACAGAAGTACCTTGAAGTTTAGGAGGGGACGGGCTGCCCCAAAAGAGTCTCCTCATTGTGTTGATACGACGTCCTTTCTCAGTGCTTTTCTTCTCCTCAAATTTGGAGAAGGTGAGAGGAGTTCCATCATTGCTCGGCCTACAAAGAATGACAACATAAGACCTCAAATCTGTAGACAGTTCAAACCAAAAGCACTTATGTTCCCTACGTTACTTATTTTATGTTCCAGCAATTATATCATTATGACATAATAGTTACCTTACAAATCCAGTTGGTACTACAATGAACTTTATAAAGTAAGAACTTTACTAGGTATGGTATTGAATTTTCCCATAAATGTGTAATTAATTAATATGTGAAACTGTTTTCTTCAATAGTCATTAAGGTCGTAACTATGACGTTTCTTTCACGTGTTGCTTTTAAGATGTGACTTAAATGACTGCTGGCAAATATATCAAGATCTAAAAGGCTCCTTTTAGTCAAAATGACTGGTTAATATATATATAAATAATATTTCTATTTACCTTGTGTCTTGACTAGAAGCTCCAGCTATACGTGCTTTCTCTCTCCAGCACTTGGAGCAGAAGCCTTGCCACACAGGGTTTCCATAATACCCACAGGAATTCTTGCAGAGCAGCTCCTCCTGAGAAACGTGGATTCCCCTTTGCTTATCTGTCGACATTGTGGAGCTCTTTCATATACTACTTCCGCCTATTGGACAAAACATTAGTATTTCAAGTTGAATTCAAGTTGTCCAACTAACTCTGTGGTTCTAATATAATTCCTTCAGACATTTGTACATATGTAAACTAAAACTTCAAGCTATAGCCTGGTTGTGCGACTAAACTTCGCACATCACCTCGGAGGCATCTTACTTGTTCATCTATACAGCCTTTTAGGACACACAATGCTGCAATTCATCCCTTAAAACCGAGGAACACTACACTACATTGTGTCATAAAGGGATGACATTTTGTACTTTTAGTTTGAACTGGTTTAAATTGAGATATTCTGCTTCAATAAAAACTACAGCTTATTTTATAAACAGCAGAAAACAACAACCAAAAGCACATGACAACTAACATATAATGTTGTGCGTATATAAATATGTTTACATTAAATATTTTGCTAGTACTGAAAATAACCAAATAGTGTGTTATCCAGTAATTGAAAAAAAATTGAGATTTGTGCTCAGCCACAACATATTGATTTAAGGAAAATACATTTTAAGGAAATACTATCCAACAATATATCAATTTTAAACATGCAAAGTTTAATTGAAAGTACGTTTTTGTATCCTTTCACTCCTTTTACTTTTATTTCCTCTTTGTAATTATTTCATGCAAGTCCATAATAGTCCTTTCCTAAAAGTTTTCAAATGATTAATACTACATGAAAGCGTCCGCAGTCTAGTAAGAAAAGAAGCTGAAACTCAGGCTTACATTTCCTATGCAAAACTGTTTTCATGAGTGTTGGCTAAATTGTTAGCTAACAGTAAAAAGCTGCCTGTCAGCTGAGGGGATTTGCGATAAGAACCAATGGCTGTTAGCTAACGCCGATTGGCTAAAGCTGACAACTATTGTAGTTAAATGTACAATCTAATTTAACTTGTAACGCAGATAAAAAGCAAATAAGTGTAATGATAAGGTCCAGTTATTGAAATGCCTCCTCACCTGTCAGCTGGTGACATCATAACTAAATTAGCCGCTTCCTGATCGCAGTGTCGCCTTTCTGGTTTCTTAACTGTCACAAACTCATCATAAGTATGACATGAAAACCATAATCTTCAGCCCTTGGTCGATGAGATGTTGTTGAATAAGAATTAAACAAAGGTAGGTAAACTTCACGGTGAACTAATTACAAACGCAGACAAAATCAGCTGATTTCAAACCTGTGCAACCGGAAAGTATTGAAGGAAATAAAAAGTCAAGTTGCAAGCTGTGATCGACCAGGCAGCGTCCTTTCGAAGCAAAAGTATCACAACAAATTGTACCTGTTCCCTAAGTAAACACGATTTGCTTACCTCCAAAACACGAACATCAAGTCAGCATCACTTATCCTTCAACCAAAACTATAGATATAGAATAAGAACACGTTCCGTAATCGCTGTAACCTGATTTCTCTCTAATTGAAACATACGTATTTTGTTTTGAAAATCTGTACCGGAAATCTTTATTTGCTTTTGCCTGCCTTGAGTTTTACTTCTGTTGTCCCCGGAGCATTGAAAAGCATCAGTACAAATGATTAATAAATAAATGAATACAATGACATCAAATACAAATAATAATTAATAAATAAATTCACTAGAATAACATTGTTTTTATAAAAAAAAGAACAGTCCCGTGTCTACATTACACTCTAGTGGTCGCAATGCGTAATACCCATGTCTCCTATAACATTTTTATATTTGAATGTTTTAAACAGAAGTTTTTATTATAATATCGTATCTAGCATAAAGGTAGTTAAAAAAAAAAGATCAAAACTGAAAAAATTACAATCATTTGTTTAAGTGTTTGCGGTTTGTAACTCTACATTATTAAATGAAAACATTTAGAAGTGCTTTTTTTTAAGTTAACCACTGCATTCACTGTCATTTTAGTGTCTGTTTTGATGACGTTTTTATGGAAACTTTTTGAATAATGTATTTTATCTGTCCATTCAACCAAAAATGCATCACTATTTTGTTGTTTTAAAAAGAGAACCATCATTATTGAAAGCTAATGATTCTGTGATAAATACATTGAAATAAAACAGACAAGGCATGCACTTTTAAAACTCTTTCTCACTCACTTGAGTAAAGCAAACTAAAGCCAAATGTTGAAGTCTGATATTATTTATTTTATTATAAAATGATCGCGCTTTTAACTTGAAAGGAATAGCAGGAAACAATTCCTTCGTTCCCCAACCTCGCTACGGTAACCAGGCAACGAAACGCTTCGCAGGAGCTAGCAAAATTATAGAGATTGTGGGGTTTTTCAATCAAATGTACCAGCTAAACCCAAATAAAAAAGTGTAAGCGTTCGACACGAATAAGGCAGTTGTTCAAGAGCGGACCTGATAATGTGTTTTCTGTTGAATACATTTCGAATGGTATGTTCCATATCACAAAAAGAGACTTCGATTTGACAGGACAATGGCAGACGTTCTCTAAAGTATTTTAAAAAGAGAAAATAACCTTCAACAAGTGAGAGGTTAGTCATCATGTCAGGTGCTGAGGCTAAGGAAGAATTCACGGAGAGTTTAGAATTGAGAATAGAAGAAACAGATGCTGAGATCAAGAGGCAGTCTCAGGTCTACACTGCAACCAGAGACACATTGTTCCCAAAGAAGATTACTTATAATGGAACTCATGCATTGGTAAGCATATCCTGTCGAATATAGGTGACCTATATTTCTACTAAAATAAGTGTTTTTTTTATGTTTACCCTCTGCACTTGTAGTAACAATTGCTTTTGCTCCTCATTCAGTCCCTAGAATGGGTATTTGGGATGAATCCTGCTTTGCCTGCCTTCTGTCTGCAAGACCACGGCCAGCTGGTGGTCTTCTATGCTGGAGCTCATGTCGGGGTCCTCTACAATCACACCTCCAACTCCCAGCACATACTTCAGGTACAAAATAATAAACAGTTTACAACTTAATGGAATATTTTATGAAAATGAGATGAGACAGCGTCCTTTAGATTAAGTTATCTAGGTAAACATCTCCAGATACTGCACTGAAGTACACATTACAAGTACTTATTCTTTACTTGAGTCTTTTCTCATAATGCCACAATCCAGATCTACTCCAATGCAGCTCAGAGTCTACTGAAATGTGTGTATTGTAGAAAAGATTCGAGTCTAATTTTAACCCAAATACAATTATTGAGCTTTGTTTACTAGTTAATTTACAAATTAAGATTATTGCAAACATTCTCACTATTTTCAGAATTTAACAAGATTAATCAATAATAACATAATATTAATTAATTGCTACATTACATCAGTAAAATCCTACTTTCAAATTATATGCATAATAAAAACCCAATGATATAATAATGCATTTAATTTGAGTATTCACCTGATAAATACGACATTATTTTACTTAAGTTGCATTTTCAATGTAGGAATCTTATTGTAAAGGATTTATTTTTGTAGTGGGGTATTTATATTTACCTAAGGATCTGAATATTTTCACTGCTACAGAAATCTTTTCACAAGTACATGCAGGTTGCAGTGTTGATTCAAATAACCTTCTGTATATACTCAATTATTCCAGGGTCACTGCCATCCCATCTCAACTATGTGTGTGAGTGAAGACAGACGCTGGATTGCAACAGCAGACCGGGGTCCAAAAAGCACAGTGATCATATGGGACTCCTACTCTGGGTAACTTTTTGTTCTAAGTGTATAAAGGCTTTTTATGTGTTAACCTTTGCTCTAAATGGTAACCACATTAATGATAAATGTTTCAGCATTCCTGTACATACATTGTTTGAATGCCACCCTAAGAGTGATGTCATGGCAATGGCGTTTTCAAGAGACACGAAGCATCTGGTAACCCTTGGGGCTGAGGAAGTTCAAGTGAGTATCACAGCAGTTAAAAAAATAAAGTTAACAGTGTTATTTAATATAGATTGTAAATTACACAATCCATAAAAAAATGGAGACACATAATAATATCTGTTGTTATACAAAGTATCACCTTCTGGTCTTCATTTATGATGAAAGGAAATGACAGCCAGGACTGTTGACCTTCTTAAATGAAGCTCCATAGTATGACTCCACCAAACACCACCATCTAGTCACAATCTATTAACCATTTGACATTTCATTTAACAGTGCGTGTATATTTGGGATTGGACAAATGAAACAGACATGACCAACATGAAGCCTTTGTGGTTTACTGAACTCGATCCTAAACATGGTTTCCAAGTAGGTAACTTCTTTTAACAGTTGAATGCCACCTTATCTTAGATATATTGTATTCAGTAGATCAAATGTTTAAATGTTGGATTGTTTTTTAGGATTACATCATTTTTAATCCAAATGATAGCACTCAGTTGCTCAGCAGCAGTGAAAGCCATGTGTTGTTTTACAGCAGGGTAAGTCTTGCTTTTACTTGTTCTTTTTTAATTTAAACATTAATACAGCTGTTATGTGGTATGTTTATTGCGATAATCATCTGTTCTTTTTCAGACCCCTGGGGCTCTTCAATACGTTGCACTGAAGGCTAAAAAGGTGACATGATAATCAAAATGTCTTAAAGGCTGCCATCAAATTATCGGAGATGTTTCTGACTTTTAATGCAAATCATTTTTTGATAAATATACATCATTGTTCAACATTGCAGTCTGATGATGCAGCTTTCCATGGATCTAATACTTTCTGTCTTCTTCTGACACTTCTCAGACAACCTTCATGGCTGGGTCACTGAGCCAGTCTGTGTTCCACTGGAGCAAGCCTGAAATCATAACAGCGACTGCAGCAGGCAGCATCGTGGTGTGGGATTTAGAGGAAGACTTAGCTGCAAACCAAAGCCTCCACACAGTCAAGCTGATTCCCATTCAGGAGCACCCGATCACTGCTCTCACTGTAACTGACAGGTAGCCAGAACATAATATTCATAATGTTTTAGAAATGTGTAATGTATTTTGTCTTTAATGTCTCTTTGTTTGTTTGTCTTGTGATATCACAGCTGTTTCGTGACGGGTGACACTCAAGGCCACATCAACTTTTACGATGAAGAATTCCTGATTCTCACTTCGTACACTAAATTCCACCTGGATGCTATTGTTTCCATTTCCTTTTCCAAAGAGTGTACAGAGGGATACCTGGAGGACTGCACTGTGGAGGCGAAACCTTTGATCATCAGGTAGAGGAAACACAATCTATTATGTCTTCAGTCTTGATGTTATGTGTATCTGAATCCATTCTAACCTCTCTTTTTCTGCAGGAACTTTGTTGTGTCCACAGTCAGTTCCACAGTGGTACATGTAAATACACAGAATGGCAGACTCGACATCCTGCTACACGAAGAATGTGGTCCTATACATGCAGTGGCCTGCCACCCCGAGCAGCCAACCGTGGCCATTGGCAACCATAAGGGTGTTTTAAAAGTGTGGGACTCTGACACCAAAGTGATCCTCTGCAGCAGGACCTTTGAGACAGAGAAGCAGATTCAGTGTGTCACTTTTGACCCTCAAGGTTAGCCAACTTGCTTACTGGCTCTCTTTGTAACAAACACATGTTGCATATTACCAGCCAGTAGCTGCAGGAATTTGCCATTGTGTTTTGCTATGTAAACACCAGCCTTGTTGGTCGGCAGTGGCTCAGTCGGACTTAGCTTGGGAACCAAATGGTCTCCGGTTCACATCCCGATCAGGCCAAAATAATCCGGAGTGTGGACAGGTAGCTGGAGAGGTGCCGGTTCACCTCCTGGGCACTGCCGAGGTGCCCTTGAGCAAGGCACCGAACCCGGAAAGCTCTGGGTGCCGGCTAACTGGCCGTCCCTTCACTCTGACACCTCTCCTATCCTGCATATGCTTCTGTTTGTGCATGTATAACAAGCCTGTGTGTCCCGTGTGTAAACAAACGGAGTGAAACAAAATATTTCCCTGTTGGAGATAAATAAAGTATGTCTTCTTCTTCTTCCTTGTCTCTGAACAGGGATATACCTGGCAGTTGGCTTTGGCAGTGGAGCCGTTCACATATTGAATTCCAGGACTTTAAAAAGTGATCCCGCGGAGTGTTTCCATTACAGTAAAGACAGCATCCATCACATCACTTTCTCCTCAGACTCCAAGTATCTTGCTACTGCGGTGAGCAACGAAATACAATAGGTTTAAGGCTTTGATAATGTATACTGCAATAGTATATTTTCATCCTTATCTTCTTATGATTTCATGTTTGACATGTTTTAC